GTGTATTCGCAATGGTATGTACTACAATGTAGAACGGATTTACATTAGACTTTCACTAAGTAGAAAGTTAACGAAAATTAAATTCAACAGGAAGGGTGTGAATAATTCTTGCATTTTGAATCAGCTGAATCTCTCTTTCTCTTGAAAGAGAAAGAGAGGGAAAGAGAGACAAGATATATGAAAAAAAATGTATATTATTTAATTAATAAATCTAAAGAACTTGAAAGGAGATTATCCTCTAATTGATAAATATATAATAAAAATTCTCAAGAATTTCTAAATTGATCATAAACAGTTACATTTATTAAATATAATATATATTATAAATAACATATTATATATTTAATGTTATAATGTGTATAATATTATAAGAATATAATTTTTAATATTATAATATTAATAAATAAAATAAAAATAAACATTTTTATTTAAAAGATGTAAAATTTTTCGTTTTCTTGTGTTAACATACATATTAGCTGGAGGTATTTTTACTGACATGTGTGATTGACATGTCACTATCGTTCAATTTTAAAATTTAGATTTAAACAAGCATATAATGCGATTTTAATCAATATTTTGTCGCAAGTCAGATTTCACAGTAATTGTTTTGTTTCTCAGTTAAGTACATTATCAATTGATCTTTAATCAAGATATGATAATATCTGCATTTTCTTATTTTACAATAAGACGATCTAAAGGTAACGACTATAAATACCAATTTTAAAACAAAACTGCGTATAAGCTGCGTTCTGAGTCACATACCCCAGTAACCATCTGAAATCTACATACATAATAGTATGTAACGTAAACTATAGATTTTTAATACTGGTACTGCAGTGAATGTTAATAATCAGTACACTGTGAGGCACAAACATATGTCCATGTAAAGAATATTGAATAGACTTTGTTCTAATAATGCCTTCTTTGTTAAGCATCAGAGAAAAAACGGATTAAAATTTTTTTGATTTGTTTTTCATTAAAGAATAACATTTTGTGCAATTAATAAATGTATCTAATATATACATGCACTCGCGCTCGGACACACACAAACATATAAGCAAGCACATTAAAATCACTACTTTCACTCATTTGTTGATTAAAAATTAATTATTTACCTCTTCTGTAAAAATCTCTAGCGGTTTCCCTGCCGATTCCGGTGTTCGCACCTGTTATAATGGCAATTTTGCCATCCAAACGCACCTGACTAGTGCATAATATCTGCATCTTTACTTTTCTTCTACTGCGATCACTAAACTGACTGAAACTCCTGTCTCGACGGTCGTCTAAACATTGAACGTCACGTGGTGGAAGTAAGTAAGTAGGTGAGGTAGGTGAGAGAGGAAAGTTAAATTGGCACAAGTGGGGCCTCGTTTAAAAGAATAACTATACAATGAGAATAAAATTGCTCAAAAAAATTAATTGTATGTAAATTGCATACACACACACATGTATAATTTGGAAATTAATACTTTAGTCTCACACGTGAAATAACATGGAAATATGCGAATTATTTTTTATTTTTTCACAATATGTAACTTTTATCTCTAACTTTAAACTCACAATCTACTTTAAAATTTTTAATTTTTCACTACAATTGTATTGAATTATGAACTGAAATATTATTTGTCTTGAGTTTTTATCTAGTATTATACATTGAAATAAATTAATTTTTTTACATGTTTTTAATCTTATATTTAATAGAAAGTATTTACGTACTCGTACTATTTCTTATTAATGTTTAAATTGATAGATGGTTGTAAATTTTGTTCAACAGACAATAAATATACAATAAAAATGTAAAATCCATTTTAGATGATATAAGAATTCGTGTTAAAACTCCAAATAATGTTTCATTTGCAATTTTATATGCCATATGTAATATGACAAGCAATTAAAAATTCAAAATGTGCGCATATACACACGCATAAAATGCACATATGTGTGTTTATCTAAATCATAAACCTTATTGATATGAACTAGTCTATAGTTGTCTATAGTTTCTGTATTAGAAGTAGCGTACGAAGGAGGTTAGAGAGAGGACCATCTTTTTCTCTTTTCATACTTCCGGACAGTTTAGAGAGAGAAATATCATTCATTCTCTTTTCTTCTTTCCGTTTTTAGAGAAAGAAGTAAGTTACGTTATATTTTGCCAGTCCATATCTATAAGATCTATGGTCAAAATACATAATAAATTAGAATTAGAAAGATGTCAGATTTCTACATCAAAATATGATGCTACTTATATTAGTTACTTAAAATCGTGGCGGCTTCAGACACGTGTAAGTAAAATCATTAAATAATTTTTTAATATATAATAACTGGAAACTAGTTTTTCGGCAATATCTGAGCAATTTCAATTAATAAAGATGTGCAATAAAATTAATGTATTTATGCAAGAAAAAGCATAATTTTTTTGTTTTTGCACCATAATTTAATCAAATTATAGTGAAAGGTTAAAGAATCTTAAACACACACATATATGGTTTTTTATCTTTACTTATATTGAAATTATAATATCAAAAAGATATTCATATATTCTTTTATACTCTTTTTTATATTGAATTGTAATATCAAGAAATTCTTAACGTAAAAAAATATATATTATAGTATATATCCTTCTCTCTTACAGAATTTCGCCAGAATTATCGAGTTGCGTCTTAGACTCTGATTAGAGGAACTTTATTATAGTGGTAAAAAAGATTTAAAAAAACAAAAAATTTATTTGTGATTACAATTATATTAGAAATAATTAATTTAATTTCTCTAAATTAAATGCGCGCGCAAAACATAAAAACTTTGCGATATATAATTAAAATTTTATTAGTAAAATGTTAAGAATGGTAACTATTAAAAATTAAATTAATATTAATTATTTGAATTTTTTAAAGTAACTTACTTTACTATCTTTATAATTTATCTTATAATCATTATTATAATCCATCTTATAATCAATCTTTAGAACTTATCTATTTGTTAAAGAAACATGTTTTCTATTTTTACTTACTTCAAATGTACACATAATAATTAGCAAACAAAAGTACATTTAATTTAAACGATACATTATTTTAAACTTAATGTATGTTAAATACTAATTAAATACATTATTTAGCAATTTGATGCGAAACAGTTGTCAAAAATCTGAGGAAATCTGTATCAGGTTCCAACTTCAGAAGCTGACAGGTTTGATTCCATAAATTTTCAGCAATTTGATCATTTCGTGCTCGCCACTGTGGAGTCGCAACGCCGCATTCCCTTCATAAGAATAAAATAATGTAAAAAAATTTTGTTATAAAATGTATTAAAATAAAGAAGAAAAATATTGAAATATTTTCTTTTTCTTGCAGTTATTCAAATACAAATGTTGAAATGTGTAAAATTGAGGTTTTAAAGATTTTATGCGACTAAATTTGTAATGACAAATGTGAAGTATGCAACACATATTTATATTTTATTGAAATCATATTATATAAAACATTATAAATTCTGAAATATTGAGGGATTATTTTATTGCACATTATACTTAGCGGATAATTTTATTTAATGTAAGTAACACTGGAAAAAAACGCGCTGCAGGCAGAACTTCCTTACCCGCCTATATGTGTATTGTCTATACAGACATATCAGCAAATTACTTCCCTTAGTATTGATACAAAAAATATCAAAATTCGGAAAAAGCCCTATTTTGAATAATTACCAACACTTTTAACTGGCCCAACTCAGTGAGAACTAATTTTGCTTAGTAAAAATTGTTAACAGATTTTATAACAAATCTATTTTTTAGTCAGATCTAGTTTTTACTGACAGTCCGTTGTTATTTCTAGAATTGATTAGTTAATACCAGTATTGATGAAATTTCTCTGATAAAACTAGTTTTGACCAATTAAATCGGGTATTGACGGAATTTTGGTTCTGACGGTATTAACATATATATATATTTTTTTCTTACCTATAATAGAGACCAGTCTCGTTAGCTGCCTGTTCGGCTACTGAACAATATATAGTCGTTTGTGCACCTTGTTCGGGATTCTTTAAAATTGGTCGCAGAAGCGATCGAAAACCAGTGCTTGCACCTGGAAATACTGTCTTGCTAAAATGTCTACCTAATTCTGTCGTTATAACTCCGGGATGCAAAGAATATACATTTATTCCGTAAATGTGTGCCTCTGAAAAACGTACGTATTCTAATTTATAAACTGTCTGATAGCACTAAAATATAAAAGGAGGTGCAAAAAATCTCTATATATCCTTCTTTATTTCTACAGATTATTTTATCGCTTTGCACATTACTTTTCAAGAGCAGAGTGATTAAATTGAAATTAATTTTTTTTTGGCAAAAAAGAACAATGGAAGTCATCATCTGTTGCAATCTTTAGCTTTATATTTTTGCAATTAAGTCTTAAATCTCTATTAAAGTAAACTCCACGTAAAATCAACTAAAAAATGTAATTTTATAATTTACTTAATTCCTTAAAATTTTATATTTATAAAAAAATTTTTTCCTCAATTTCTTGTAATAGATATATCTAAAAAACTATTAGTATGTAACATTCTTGTTAAAAAAGAAACTGTTTTCAAACTAACCAAAAAATCAGAAAAAAAAAAAAAACAAAAAAGTATCAGTAAGTAACATTTGAAAATTGGGACACTATAGAAATTAATATCTAAGCTAGGCAAAACTAGCAAAAAACTTACGATCGGTTTTTGTAATTAATTGAAGTTAATGTGCCACTTTGACGCACGGCTTTAATTCATGCTATATAATATTCAAATTCTCTACAATATTTGCAGCTTGTAATAATTGTTTTTGTATACCTTTTAACCGACGAGCGAGTTCCTTGGTGAACAATACGTTCGCTAGCTTACTTTGTGCATATGCTCTGAAGGGAGTGTATGTTTTCTCCAAATTTAGGTCCTCATGCACAGCGCCAACTATATTACAATAATAGCCATCGCTATTAGCTATTTCTTTCTATTGTTATATATCACAGCTGATACAGCAAATTTCGTTAGTTATTATTAATAGCAAAAAAAATTCGTGTTAAAAAAACTAATTTTATTTAGTAAAATAAAACTTTAAATTTACAAATTATTTTAAGTAGTAACAAATTCACTTTATTTCTTTTTGCCATTCTCTGATTTTGTTTTATTTTTATATTAACATTTTATACAGCAACAATTTTGTCGTCATAGCAAATTTTATAAATACTTTTATAGACTGTTTGCCTTAACAGCAAATTAACATAAATAAATCTATTTTATAAAATTTTTCTATTTTTTTAGCAAAACAAATCTTACCGTAACATTAAACTATCGTGACAAAATTTGTTTGTCCTCTCAAGAAATATATAATAGCAGTAACTATTTTTTGCTGCATTAGCTAAATTATTTTTCTTCCATGATAACATTACGCGTTATGATCTAAACGTATATTATTAACATATATTATAATTATATTTGTGTAATGTATAAACTTAACTAGAATGTTATTAATTTTACGTACACATGTGCATACACGACGAAACATTCAATATTTTACAACCATAACCGGAGGATTGCATTTTTGGCAGTAGCAGGAGCGTCAGGAGAAAGTGACCAAGATGGTTTGTTTGCAGCTGCAAGTCGAATCCATCTTCGGTCTTTTCTTGCGGGCACATCATCACACCAGCGTTATTTATCAGCAAGTGAATGGCTGATTCATTTTTCAACAACATCTCAGCACATTCTCTTACGCTTTTTAGGCTGCACAGGTCCAAACGATAGACCGCGAGTTCACCTGGATTACCTTGAAACTGTTCCCTATCTGCTCTGAAAATTATCATATATTATTACACATACAATACGTATTGTGTGTGTAATTAATACAATTATAAAAATTTGTGTTAATTATACTAAATGTATATGATGTATATCAAGTGTGTATATATTAACTATGTTTATATTAATATCTCAGAACCGTAGATTATAACAATTATATTTTATATTTTATAACATAACTGACATTTCATTAAATATTGAGTAATTTTATGGAATAAAATCATGTTTGCTAATTTTGCAAATTGTTCTATTATTTCTCTATCGTGACGAAATCACGATAAACATAGAAAAAAAAAATTTATTTTTCCAAGAACTTTATAATTATTATACAAAGGAAAGTATCGACCATACATTATTAAAAAAAAATATTAATTTATAAAGCAAAGACGCTAGTAAAAGTACAAATTTTTTAAAGTGCCTAATTTCTTGGAAGCGTAGAAAAACTTTTATCTTCTTCCTATTTTTTCTTGCAGATCACATATGTTTCGTCTCTCTCTCTCTCTTAAACATTATGTTTATTACTATTTTTAATTTAAGTAAACCTACCTTTTCCTAGTTGCTTGGTAGACAATAGGATTTCTTAAGAAACTTCGATTTACTTGACAAATGAGATTACATCTTATCCTATTAGACCTACTTATTTGACGGCCTCTTTACAGTGCCTTGCAAATTAATTATATCGGAAATTCTTGTTGAAAGCAAGTACCTCGGTATAATTAAAGAGTTTTATGTCAAATACTCGAAAATATCTTACGATAGCAATATAATATATGTAACGATACATTAAATAATGACAATTCTCTGAGAAAAATGACAATAATATTATTGCTGAATTGTATTTACGAAAAATTATGAAATATAAGTATTGTATTAAACATATAAGTAGTGATAATTATGAATTACTGATTACCTATAAGCTCACCATTAATCGATAAGTTAGGAATAATTACAAGCAAATTATAAATTCTATTCGTCAACAATAATGCATATTTATATAATAATTTTACTTACTTTGAGGGAGGATTTCTTCTTATATCTTCAATTGCGTCGTTTGCTCTTTGCATATCTCGACAAGCTAAAATTACTCTTGCTCCTAAAAATATAAATATTAATTTATATATTCAAATGTATGAATACTATATTTCTCGTACCAAGTTATGCTAAAATACCATCAAACTGGTATATGTTCCCAGTGAGAAATGACCCATCGAATTAACGTCTAATTAGACGTATATATAGACGTCGATTCGACGGATCATTTCTCACTGGGTTATAATAATAAATATCGACTTCATACAACAAGAGATATAAATTCAGTTTATAAGCATGAGACTTACACATATTAAGAATTTATAATTTTCTTGCGATAAAACGCGATAAAACGCGATAAAAAGCGATATAATTAGATAAAATCAACAAATCCAATCTAACGAATCATTATTTCAAGAAATTATCAATTTCTGTTGAAATTTTTCAAATTAACGTAGAGTTACCTCTTCTATAGAGATCTCTAGCGGTCTCCTTGCCAATTCCTGTATTCGCTCCCGTTATAATTACGGTTTTGCCGACGAGTCTTGCTGTACTGTTACACTGACTATGAAACGGCCACATTTTCACGATATCTCTTTTACACGGCTTCACGACGCGCACCGCTTTTAAAACGTAACTGTCTACACTGTCTACAGCAACCAGCTGACTTTTACACGGCTTCACGACGCTTTTAAAACGTAATTATCTACACTGCCTACGCAGCAACCAGATGATTGTATGCGGCTAAGGTCTCGTCCACTGAATTAGTCAGAAGAGTCTGATGGAGATTTACACGTTAGGATACTTATATAAAGTTATAAAGAGGGAGAGGGGGGAGGGAGAGAGAGGGGGAGAGAGAGAGAGAAAGAGAAAGAGAGACCCAGATAGCCAAGCGTGATAGAACATATTGAGCAAACTAATGCATGTGTTTTTATATATTTGAAATAGAAAACGTTACAAATACAGCTACATGACTGTAGCTCTGTTTTCAAGAGCAAACGGTCCGCAATATTGGTATGTTATGTTGCAACATATCAGCAACATGACAGCAATGATTCATCGTTCCATCTTGAGCATCATGATCAAACGTGACGGCAACAACACATATATAATGATTTTCATCCGTTATTGTGTATATGTCATCAAACTATGAAGTTTTTTTTATTATATCTCGTTGCTAACGAAGTGTTGACAATATGAAATAGTCACAAATCCCTCACAAATTGATGCTGTCACGTTGCAATCAATTTGCTGTTAATAAAAATATAATTCATATGAGTTCAACCCGACAAGCATAATGCTGTCTCACCTTGTCCCGAGTTTGTCAAAATTAGTTGCATTAACGACAAGCTGCTATTGTTGGCAGCATGGCAGCAAACTCACAGCATTTGGCTGTCTGGAGAGAGAGAGAGAGAGAGAGAGAGAGAGAGTGTGTGTGTGTGTGTGTATAAATAATAATAAATAATATCTAATATCACATATTTTAGAAGTATATGGTATTTATTATAAGAAAAACCTCATACGAAATTAAGTTATATATACGTGGATCCGAAAACATTTCTTTTCCGATATATTATAATTAATAATAATAATGTTAATTATAATTATTTCTTTTGTTTGTTCGCTATTTTATTATTAACCAAATATAGTTTACCATATTAGAAACTAGAAATTAACTTGAGCTACCTAAATAATTCTAAATGATTCCTATATAATTTTACACTATGTTTTACCATATAACATCTTAAGTGTAATTTGCGGTTTAATTAATACCAAATTTCTGCATTAAATTATTAAAATAATTTTAATAATACTGAAATGTCAAGGTCGCAATATTTAGAAATGCCTAAAATTGATGGTCAATATTGCACAACAATTATTGCGTAGTTAAAATTTATGTAATTTTTTCTGTATTTAACAATGGCTTTTCAACACTAGTAGATAATAAAAAACCGCAATTCGCTTGTTAAGCTGACTCATCGTTGTTTCTTTTCTTTTCATTGCTCTCTCACGATTATATTTCTTTATATACATATACATAATTTCATAATCGAGTCGGCTGCTGTTCGGGCCGCAACGCAGAATTGTTATAAGTTTGTACATATAAAAGTATAATTTCTACTCTTTGTTTAGAAATAAACTTAGATTTACAAAAAAATTTTCAACAAAATCTCATGAAACTCTTTATATCCTGTTAATTCTCGTGTTTTCCAACTTTAATTAAGCATAAGTATATTATAATAATAAGTTTAATATGTAAGAAAGAAAAGAAACGAAGAAAGAAACACTCTCAGAAAAGAATTCTAGATACAATACTATTAGGATCGAAATAGGGCCAATCATATTTAGTATTAAAAGAAGAATATTTTAATCTTAAATAGAGGAATTCTTGAATCTAGAATAATTCTGAGAAAATTAGAGGGATAGCATCAAGATTATTTTATTCTAGATTTAAGAATTCCTCTATTTAAGATAAACAATATACTATCTAGAAGTCTAGATAGAATTTAAGAATTCTTCTATTTAAGATTAAAATATGATTGGCCCTATTTCGATCCTAATAGTATTGTATCTAGAATTCTTTTCTGAGAGTGAAGCTATAAAGCATCATACATCATAGCATTTTACATTTTACACTTTTGTTAAAATTAATAATGTAGTAAAAACCTTTTGATTGAATAATTTTTCTATCGTTTTTTACAAACAAAATATACAGTTTGCCTAAAATGGGCTATTGTCGCACAGTATTGAAACATTTGCCGTTTTTGTTATTATATGACCTGTTCAGTTACTATAGTCTTAATACTTATTCATTATTACCTTCATCGTCAAAACTGTGAGAAAATGATAATCTAATTATTTGAAGTATAAAAGTAGACCTCAGATTTTAGATAAATGACAATTATAGTCAAAAGTAAAAAATTTTGATTCAGGTATGAAGAGAATTAATAAGATATAAAGAGTTGGGGTCAAAAAATTATACGCTCACGTATACGTAATAAGTGGCATATATTACGCTATTTTCTCCTATTAATTTTCATAGTACAACCAACACTAATTTAAAGAAAATTGCTTATTAAGCTGTATAAGCTAAGTGCGCAATTTATTATAAATCCGAGCTCGAGAATTTGTAGATCTAATCGTATAAAATTTATATGATATTTCTAATATTATCGCGAATTTTACTTTTTTATGTTATAGAATTAATTTCGACGGAATATTGTTATAAAACATAGGAAATTTTTGAAAATTTAACCAAGATCTCTCGAAAATATCGTAGAAAATTTAAAAAGTATTATTATACAAAATAAAATATATATATATACTTTTTTATAATCCTATGCGCATATACGTATATTTTATAAGCCATATATTTTTTTTTCGTAATCTCATGTAAAGTCACCCGTATAATTAGACGTCTGTAGACGTCGATAGACGTCAATTCTAAGGGTAATTTCTCACTGGGATATCTCTATGATCATTGGCGACATTTTAGACGTTACGTAATAAGTAAATAATAGATATATTAAACGAGGAAGAAATAATATTATACAAGACAAGTCACCAAGATATTGGCCACATTAAATAGTCGCGTTAGCAGTCAATGATATTCGTCAGCTTGTGCTCATGTTTCTTTAAAAGCAATATTGTGAAGCGTTGTATCCGAACTTTATCTGCCTAGCATCAAATTTATGCCAACGGTTCAGAACGAGAATGTCGAGTGGCCAGCAACAGGAAAGGCGGAGAACAGGAGAACCGAGAGGTTCAAAATTGATCGAGTTCTCAAGCAGTCTGCACAGATAAAACCTGTTTTTCTGGTGCATTTAGGGCGTTCTCTTATAAATCTACTGTATAAATCAACGGTAAAATTTTAGTACAAAGTATATATACGTGTGAAATATACATTAGTGATGTACGCACGAGTGAAACTATGTGGAGGAAGAGGAACAATAAAGAAATTACGTGCTCAATCGTGCTCAATTAATCAGTGTCACGTTGATAGTACCGAGCCCAAGCCTTTCGAAAACATACCGGGACCAAGATCTTTGCCCGTTATTGGAACACTGTACAAGTACCTACCTTTCATTGGTAAGAAAATAATATGTATTTCGATAATCCATTAAAAAGATTTATTACTATTGCAAATTTAATGTTTCTAAAATTTTCCATTGAACTAAGGATAGAGAGAACCGATTCTGTATTATAACTATTACTACATATTCCAAATAATACTTGCTCATCTCTCTCTTAAATGTCGATAAATTAATCTTACGGAATATATGTCAACGGTATAGGTGAATACAATTTTACGAAGCTACATATCAACGGCTTATTGAAAAAAAAGCAATATGGACCTCTGGTGCGTGAGGAAATAGTACCAGGCCAATCAGTAGTGTGGGTATTCCGACCGGAAGATATCGCGGAGATTTTCAAAGCTGAGGCGGGTCTGCATCCGAAGAGAAGATCGCACTTGGCTCTCCTCAAGTATCGAAAGGACAGGAGTAACGTCTACAACACTGGGGGTCTCTTACCCACGTAAGAATCTTACAAAATTTCGCATTACAATATGTCATGATATTTGTACATAAGAATCGGCCGGAGAATCGCTTCGTGTCTCGGTAGAATAAAGATTAATATGGGGATCGGATATTTCAGAAACGGCACCGAGTGGTGGAGGCTGCGCCGTGAATTCCAAAAGGTCCTTAGCAAACCCCGGAACGTCGTCGATTACCTTGAGGATACCGACGCAGTTGTTCAGGAGTTCGTGCAGCTCTGCTCTCGCGAGAAGCCCGACGATTTTCTACCTCTATTCTCGCGTCTCTTTCTCGAATGTAATATTTTCACGTCTAGACAAATAATTCATTAACGCTACCGATTTTGACGAATATACATATATAATAACGTTGACAAAAAGCATATGTTACATCATCGGCATACATTTTCAGTGACTTGTCTCGTGGCTTTCGATGTAAAAATGCGAAGTCTTTCGGAAGAAGAAAAACATCCGCATTCTCGAAGTTCAAGGCTAATCGAGGCAGCGTTTACGACGAATAGCGTAATTTTGAAATTAGACAATGGCCCGATGCTTTGGCGATTTTTCGAAACGCCGTTATACCAAAAATTGCGCAAGGCGCAGAATTACATGGAAGAGTAAGTGCGCAATTGTAAATTATTTATTACCGCATATATAAAATATTAATTGTTGTGACCTTAAATTGTTGGAAAAATATTTGATCATTTCGTAAATAATGCAAAATTACACATAAATTCTCTAAATTTTATTTTTTAATTATTTAAAAAAACTTATAGATAAAAAAGCTATAAAAAAATAAATAATACATTTATTTTAATTTACCATTTCCTTTAAAAAAAAAAAAATGATACTTTTTACGTCGTAAAAAAATCTTTGCATTATTTATAAAAGAATCATGACTATGACAATGAAATAGATTTCTGATGAAATCGTGCTCATTTACACAATTCTGTCATAATTTATAACTTTTTTGTTATTGGAATATCTCAGAGTAGCGCTACAAATGGTTACTCAGAAAAATCGAGATGCATTAATATGTCGGAAACAATCTCTTCTCAAGGAATATTTAAAAAATGAGGCTTTAGATATTAAAGATATTGTGGGTATGGCGTGTGATATGTTGCTCGCTGGCGTGGATACCGTAGGTTTTCAAGTATTGACTATACGTTTTACATGAATTTTAATGAACTTGCGATTAAATATAGTTATTACAAGCGACGAAATCGTGGCGAGAGGAAAATATAAATTTCATATTATTTTAGACGACATACAGTACGTCATTCGCCTTGTATCATCTTGCAATTAATCCAGCTGTTCAAGAAAAGCTAAGATCGGAAGCTGCGGCTTTGTTACCGGATCCTATGTCCCCGATAACGACGGAGATCCTAAGAAATGCCACGTACGTGAAGGCCGCAATAAAAGAAACTTTCAGGCTAAATCCTATTTCCGTGGGAATAGGTCGTATCCTGCAAACTGATGTGGTGCTGAGCGGATATCGCGTTCCCAAAGGAGTAGTGTATTTGTGTTTATAAATAAACAATAATATTATTATTAAATAATATTAATAATAAATAAATAATTTATATTTTGAAAGGTAGTGATGAAACAAATTCTTTAAGGGAAAATCTCATCGAAATGTTTCAGACTGTAGTCGTCACGCAAAATCAAGTGATTTGTCGACTTCCCGAATATTTCGACGAGCCAAATTCATTCAGACCGGAGAGATGGTTACGCGATAGTAACGACAAAGAAAACAAGCTGAGAAAAAAGCCTGTCAACCCGTATACTGTACTTCCTTTTGGCCATGGCCCGCGATCGTGCATCGCAAGACGATTCGCGGAACAAAATTTGCAAGTTGTTTTACTGCGAGTGTGTGTCTTAAGAATTATCAATTTTTCTTAATAACATATTGCGCAATCACATACATAATTGCAATGATGTTTCAATGAATTCTTTGCAGATCTGCAGAAATCTGCGGTTTACATGGTGTGGAGAGCCTCTTGATTCAGTTTCGTTTCTAATCAACAAGCCTGACGCGCCTATTAAATTGAGGTTCGAAAATCTACATGCGTAAAAAAAGTCATTAAGATCGAACAGAAAACTTTTAACGAGGTTTGTATCGGAAAACAACAGTTTATTATATATTCTACTTATGGGCAAAGTTGCTCCTTGACTTATTCAATAGATACAGCAATAGAAATAATTATAAGATTTATGTGTCGCGCTGATAATTTATCGAACACGAAAATTAAACGAATTGCGGATACTTCTAATTGTAAGTCATGTATTTTGGCGTTGCGGAGAACTTGGCGTACGATTTGATGACCTTGTTAACCGCCTCGAGGAAATCCTTCTCCGTGGCAACCTTGCGCCGTGCACGAATCGCAAACATACCAGCCTCGGTACAGACCGATCGTATTTCAGCGCCTGTGCTATTAGGGCACAAACGAGCGAGCAACTCGAATCTGATATCCCTCTCGACGCTCATCGAGCGCGCGTGAATCTTGAAGATGTGCGTGCGTCCCTCGAGATCCGGCAGTCCAAATTCTATCTTTCTATCCAGACGACCTGGTCGCATCAATGCAGGATCCAGGGTATCCGGCCTGTTCGTCGCCATTAGAACCTTTATGTTACCTCGTGGATCAAATCTGAAAAAATTAAGTTACGGTTAAGTCGTAAAATAATTAGACAGCAACTCTTTAGGAATAGACGAGCAACTTACCCGTCTAACTGATTTATTAACTCCAGCATAGTACGTTGAACTTCGTTATCACCGCCGGCACCGTCATCAAAACGGGCACCACCGATGGCGTCGATTTCGTCGAAGAAGATCAAACAAGCCTTTTTACTTCGCGCCATCTCGAACAGTTCTCTTACCATTCTAGCACCCTGCGAAAGAACAAAGTTGTACATGTTATCCATAAACATTGCTCTTTACTTTTATAATTGCTTCTTTACGCAGCATTTGACATACCTCACCAACATATTTCTGGACTAATTCTGAACCAATGACACGAATGAAACAGGCATCTGTCCTATTGGCCACCGCTCTAGCGCATAAAGTCTTTCCTGTACCTGGAGGCCCAAACAACAAAACGCCTTTCGGTGGTTCAATACCCAGGTTGACAAACTTCTCCGGCTGTAATAAATCTCTTGGTTACATTTTCTCAACACTTTGTTAACAAATCGCAATAATAGTAAACGATTATAAACCAACATGTAACAGGGGCGTTTCAACGACTTCTCTCAATTTCTCGATTTGCTCCTTGCAGCCACCAACATCGCTATAGGTAACATCAGGCTTCTCTTCCACTTGCATCATCGTTACGGTAGGATCGATTTTGGATGGCAGTGGAATATGAATTTGATACTTGTTGCGATCCACTCCTACCCTCATGCCTTCCTCTATGTCCGTTGGCGCTACAGAATCTGCCAAGTCAACTACGAACTTCGCGAACTGCTTCACATTTATTATATACTTCGGATCGTCGGAATCCGCATTTATGATTTTGGTACAGCGTGCCACTTGCAGGGGTTGCTCATTTTGCAGAGTTTGCTTGTCAGCCGCCAAATCCCAAAGTGCCGGCGGTGCCAGGCCAGTATCAGACTCTTTGATCCCCGTTGACTCGTTCACACGCTTGATAATCATTTGGATATCCTCTTCAACATACTTAATAGACTTCGTGTATTGCCCTTGGCCCTAATTAGGACAAAAATTTACAGGAATTCAAGACATGACGTTTATATGACAAATGGACATTTATCTCTATATCTTGATTTCAAATTTTTCCTCTAACAACATATCTAATGGTGATTAACATACGTAAGTCTTCAACAAAGCGATATCGTCTTCATCCAGTGCTGAAAATCGAGAAGACGAGCTTTTAGGAAATAAGAATCATGATAAAGTGAACAATAAAGAAAGTCGCGAAATGGAACTCACATTTTATCTCCTTTTCTTCCTTCTCCTCCTCGTTCTTCACCTTCCGCATATCTTCTCCTAAATGATCCGGCATCTTTCGCTTTTGTTAAATCGTCTTGTTTACCGCAAACCACACTTTTAACGTTCGTTATTCGTTAACAGTCCGGATTTTGTCGCACTTTTTTGGGGTTATGTTCTAATTACAAGATTACAAGCGAAATCGGGGAGAACCTGCGAAGCGACATCTGCAACCGAGTGCAACGAACGATCAAACTCTTTTCATCCTTGTAATGAGCAAATGGTAAATCTGAACTTACCGATAAGAAGTCAGTGATTGATAATTACCTCTGCGTTTCAGAGATGGCGCTTAAAGAAACTCCGAGAATGGAAAAAAGAAAGAAGAAAAGAGGAGAAAGAAACGGGCCATTTTCTTATGTGGTCAATGTGTCGCTTCAGTGAAGATTTTTTCTAATTTGTGCGTGTTAAATAATATTGTTACGTAAAATATACAGCTGCTCGAGCGATATTGTTGCGTGAAGGAACGTTAAACCTGCCGCAGCGTACGTGACCACTACGTGACTCCGAGACCGACTGATGCGGCCGAGGTACGTCCTGTTTTGTTTTATGTGTTTGTGATTTCCCGGGAAAAAAATTTTCATGTAATAATTGTATATAAAATATGTCCATGTATGTTTTCTTTCTCTTATACAGGGTGCGATCCACCAGACGCTTTAAACGCTTCAGAGTATCATTTTGTCCTTGTTTAACATTTGATAAACAAGGATGAAATGTTTCCATTGTTTCAAAGAGCGTTTTGGAGCACCAAGTGGATCGCACCTATAATCTTTGTTCGTAGAGATAAGAACTATAAGAAAAATTTAAAAAATATATAACTATAAAGGAAAATGTTTGCATTGCTTTTTTTTTTACAAAAAAGTGAAGTTCGAGGAAATGAGAAAATATTGTCTATATGTAATTATATATGTATATAAAATATGATTATATATAGAACATTGTATAATCAGTTATTTAGTCATTCAAGTTGTCGCGTCTCCGTTTGTTTCTTTTATAATAATAAATAAATAAATAAATATATGTGTATATAATATTTTTTAACTTAATTAAAATTTTACTGTGTGTGGCGATTAGAAAAGATGTGCACCAGAGTCCCTCTAATCAGAGTCTGGCCAACTTGTAGTTCTTGCAAAATTCTGCGAAAGTATGACAGAGATTATATATAAGAGAAAGAAAACATACATATCTTATAATTATATATATATAATTTTTTCCCGGGTTGCCTCAATTTTTCGTGTTTAATTTACTATTCTCTGCGTATCACGCACATGTTTGTTTAATTTATTATTAATTAGCGTTATAAGTTTAAAAAGGGGGAAAAACAGGTAAAGATTTGAAAATAAATAACAGCACACATGCGTTGGATTAAGTCGATATTTATTGCTGTCGAATTAAAATTGAAAAATTGAAATTAGAAGCGTCAGTTGTTGACGGATTGCACACTCCGTCACGTTTATAAAATCGAAATGCTACTCGCTCTTGCATGCTTGTTCAATTTCTCTCCCCCTCCTCTCTCTCTCTAATCTTTGCGTTTCGCGCGATAATCGGTCCGATCGAACCTTTCAAAGGAAGTGCAGAACCGCCCAAGTCACGCCGCATGCGCCGGGCGGACAGTCCTTGACCGGGATGATGCGTGGAAGAATGCGAAGTAACGAAAGAGAGGCCGAGATGTGCGTACAATAATACTTTCACCTGCACTCGTCCCACCCTGTTTTGCTCGTTATGATTCATTTGAGGTGCATTTGTGCACACCTCAATCACGATGCGCAATATTTCTTCTTTTTTCTTTTTCGTATATTTTTTATTTTACTGAGAAAAAAATTTCTTCATTGATACTTGGAAAGTTAAATAATAATTTATAATCTTATAGTCTTTAAGAAGTAGAACTCGAACGGTAAGAGACAGATAGAAATTCAAGATAAGAGAGTTTCTCGATGGTGAAGCAATAATACGTGATGGAAGAAATATGAATTTCCTCTGCTTTTAATTTCTGTGGATTCACCGATGACGAATCCATATGTTCGCTACATCATAAACGCACCTTCGCACAAGCGCTCGCTGCAGGCGTGGTGCACGCGAACTTCAACCGTATGCGCTCTCTCATCCTCTCGTGTTGCATATTAGAGAGGTCAGGGTACCTGTAGCCTCGTTATTGCAAACCTTTTACGTCGCGATTTGTTTTCGACCTGTCCGGCTTTCGACAAAATTTTTCATCTAGGCGTGAAAAATCAATCAATGCACGGAATTTTTTCGCGAAAACAATCGACGAAACTTATGGATTCCATAAAATTGCATTTTTCCTTTAAATCGGTTATAAATCAATTAAAATCCATTTTTCATAAAATATAAAATGTATAAATAAACATAATTTAATGCAATCTGTGCGTATACATACATTTGTTGTATATATAATATAATAAAATTATATATTACATTATTTTCTGTAAACCATATTAATTGTCGCGTCACAAGTTTGAATCTAAAAAATGAGAAGAATATTAAAGTCTCACGAGAAAACGAGTATGAAGATTGTATGCGCGGCGTGAAAGGTTCAAATGTTTCAGTTGATTTCGCTGTGGATTTTTAAACCGCCGTTGGCGGAGTTGAACTTCACATACCGCCTTCACTCGCGATCATAAAGGTAATAGCGAAAATTTACGCTCCGCGTGCACCATTCCGACTGAGATAAAAGTTAATAATTTTATCGTTAATGATTTTACGAGGGTTTGCCACCCATCACAGCGTTTAATTACATTTAATTACGATAAGCGTGTTATCGCGATCTCGTAGAGGAGCAATCGAGATATAATGACCTTTAACGAAATATTTTCACGTTCATTGATAACATACGATCGTGCGTTTCTTTCTCGCGCAACGCTATAAAGTATTATAAATACACAAAGCGGTAGCACCTCCTTGAAAAGTATAATCGCACGTTACAACTAATTACGGTTATTAGATCCCAAGTTTTGCGGCAAATTATAGACAAGTAAGTGCTCGTACCTCGCACGAGATGATGCAACGGCGTTATACACAGCGGCGTTACATATGCCTGTAAAACTGGCATGTAACATTTTCTCGCCGTCGATGTAAGTATGTCACTGTGTCAGGTCAGGCGGACGAAAAGCGATTTCGAAGCTGTCGCTTCTTTAAACTGGATCGCGTCCCAAATGAATTCTGAATCGCCCGCGCGACTCCGCTCTGTTGCTCCGAATGAAAATTTGCGTAATATATGTCATCACCAGCCAACGTGGGTGGAGATTGACATTAAAGCGTTCCTTCCTTTGCTGGAACCACAATCTCATTATTATTCCACGTCATCCGCCATTTTTCGTGGGAACGCGGTACGACGAACGGATGGGTGCATGCAGCTCGCCATAAAAATCTCCCCATCAGAATGCGAAACATTCGCGCGGCGCATGACTCTTCCCACGAAGAATCATCTTTAAATAACAATTGAGTACACGATCCAGCGAATAACTTCTTTCGGATTGCGCACGTAAAGCCGTCATAAAGTTACATTTGAGGAAAATGAAGAGACGATGAATCGACATTCTTTTCAATGCCAAGACGAACGCAACGAGCAGGAAGGGCGGAGAAATAAATTCGAGGGCAAATAGAAACAATATGTATATTGATTTATTGCGTAACGGCAGTTATATTTCTTATATAGGGATCGATACTGTTTTGTTATCCACCATACTGTGTCCTATGTACACGTATCACTTCGCATTAGAGGCTGGGGAGGGAAAAAAATGACTCAAAGCCGTCACATGTATCGATATCTAGCCGAGCCTCCCTCCAACGAGTTCGTTGGACCGTGCTGGTCGTGGAGGATTTTGCGGATCTCATACGGTGAAACTAGAATCTTCGGAATGGATTGGGATTGTACGTCTGTCCGCCGAATCTCTGCTGGAAGGGTTGTCGGTCGTACTTTTCGTCATCGGGCCCAGGCGGATTTGCCGCGAGCGCTCTTCTGATAGCTTCCGGGATGGGGGGCGGTGTGGGAAGGTGGGCACCCTCAGCGTGGAAACCATTCTCATCGGCCGTATACTGAATGGTGATCGGGGTTCCGTCGGGCGCTTGGTAAGAATAGCTGCCCTGGACCACCTATATGAATCGATTAAGAGATAGATGCGATAATTAGAATTTGAAAAAAATGTCTTTATGTTTCGATCGATTATAATTGTAAAGTTGCAATTTTGGCCGGAGTTTTCTACGAACTTGAGAAAATTAAACAGTTTCTCAAGTTCTTGAGAAGTTGAATTCGACCGCTGTGCATCAGTGAAACAATTCTTTAATTAAAGACTAAAGAATGGAAAAAATGAAAATTTTTGCTGGTAGAAAAAATGTAGCAGAAAAATTATTATAATAAATAGTGAAAATAATAATAGCAAAGCTGATTAACTACTGAAGAAGAAAGGAAGTGAAGTTTGATTGAAATTATAGTGTGGAGAAATGAGATTTGCATATTACATAATACACATACGTAATTAATTTCTATTAGATGATGTAACACTCATAACATCTGGCGATATACAAATTAAGGAATTTAACGGAAATTCCTAATAAAATCCGAAAAAAATAAGTTTTCTATATATTGCAAATTTTCATATAAATATAAATTCTTAAAAAAAATGCATCAATGATATTAATTCTTTACACGACATTAGTAACCCTAAAATATTATTAAAGCATAACAGTATGTAATAAATGTGTTCAGAACTTAATGATTATACAGAGTAGTAACTAATTATAAAAAATTTATAAAATTTTAATTAAACCTTTAGTTTAATTTTTGATAAACTTAAAAGTAAAGTACTTCGTAAAAGTAAAGAATCAAAAGTTTCTCTCTCTCTCTCTCTCTCTCTCTCTCTCTCTCTTCTCGTATATGGCTTTACAAATAAATCTTTTGAAACTAAATTAGATGTGTTAGAACAATACGGATTATACAAAACAACAATATGGAATAATTGTTTTACCTCCGTTTGACCCTGAGGCCCAGCTTGAGGGTATCCCCTTTCAGAGACTGAAATTCCGTTCTCGGTTTCATAGCCGAAGGTGTAAGATCCGTCCGGTGATGTATCCTTGTGCTGGCTTCGAATGCCTATGAACGGCTTTGCGGCAGACCTACGGTAAAAAGTTGAAACCGTATCATTTCGCGTAGCCTTGAATTCTAAACGGTTTCATTTATAACGCAAAAGTTGTGTGCGTGCGTGCTTGAGTCTTGCGTCTCCGTTTATATTTATTCCAATGCTAAACAGCTATTAGCTCAGAAATCGGAAGCAGTAGCAAAGAAACAATATTAAAGATCAGTTTTACTTAATTATAATTTGTAACGATACCTTTTTTTAAGAAATATAAATCTGTAAAATTTACCATTTATGCAGTTATTGATTTCAGATTTATCAATTCTTTTTTACGATTAACGAGACGTATTATAACCTAGTAATTTTATATGAATACAATTCTTGACGTATATTAATTTACTGTAATTTCGTAGCGAAAATTTATGATAACTGATAACAGTATATTTTAAACAAACGATTTTGGGATAAGATTATCATAAAGAAATAAAGACTTTAGCGGCTTATCGTATACAAATTTCATACGTGTATTGCGGTTGCGTGTATTGCGGTTGCGGCTGCGGCTGCGGCTGATAGGGCCTCGGCGTTGGTCTATATGCATTTTGGCTGGGAAAGCCGCGGTACGATCCAAATTGTCCGAAGACGCAGCCGAAGATGGCAAAAGCCAAGATCTGTAATCATACTGTTTTTATCCGAACCAACACACAAAAATAATTGAAAATATATAGATATTTTTATATTTATTTATAAAATAACATTTATTTTATAAATATAAAAATATATTTTTCATACATTAATACGTTTGTAAAGCTAAAGATTGAAGTGTTCCTAAGGACTTGATGTGATTCTAATTTTCGAACGTTATATAATTACAAAAACTCGCGCATTCGCGATATATTTTTCTCGTATCGTTATTTGAGATTTAGAAGCATCACATTTCCCAACATTCGTCCAAGTCAGAAACTCATCATTTAGGAGGTTTATTAATTGAAATGCTTGTTCCATCGCGTAATTTCACGTAAAATTACCACCAACTGCGGAATGTTTTACTACCGAAGTACGATTCTTGCGCAACGCAATCAGAATCGCGATTTAGCAAAGAAAAGACATTCTTTTCGTCCACTAATACGTTCACCGATTATCGCGCGTCCACCAATGAATATAAAAAAAATAAGGAAGTTAAAAGAAGAAAAAGAACACAAAAAGCGAACGTGATCGCGGAAGGAGAACGAACGAACGATATCCAGAAGATCGTCGGCGATTTCGACGAGGTAGATCACTCACTAGATACTGCATGACGACGACGACGATTGTCGGCGGTTCGTGTACGGCTTTGTCGATTTGAACGAGATCGAATCTGTGATCCCGTGCCGCGAGCACCACCGTCATTTATATGAAGACGCCCAAGAGGATCTTCCCTTCCCATTCTCCCGATTTCTGCGTAGAATCGCTCGTTCGTTCGCTTGCTCGTGCTCGGGAGAGGAGCATTCTCCTCCGTCGGGGATCCCTCGTTCGCCCTCGCATCCTCGCCCCACCTCGCAACCCCAAACGTGCATGCAGCACGGCATCCCAGCGGCCGGCGGCTGCTCCTTACGTGATCGAACGGGTTGTCGACGTGCCACCGCCGCTGCCGCCGATCGTTCGCGCGAATTCGATTCAACCAGCGAGCCAATTAATTTGTTGGTATTCGCGAATGCCCACGCCAGCTACTGTTTTCAGTTTAATAGAGTCATTCGTTAACGTATCGTTAGCGTTGTCGCTATGAGACGACGATGTGGGTGTCATTGTATGTAACGCGATGATATTGGGTGATAAATATGTACAGTTTCATACTCTTTGCGTATTCTCGATGAAGGCTACTGCTCATTTGTCAGCAGCTGTTTAAATAGTTTGTTAAACAAGCAACATTTTTATAGCCGGATCTTCGATTTAATTTCCTAATCGTAAGCGTTACTTCTGCAATAGAAGATTTAGGCTGCTGATTATCGTGCATCTATACTTTTATCGAAAGAGATTACATAAAGACGAATATCGAGTTCATTAAATTTAGTTACTAATCATGTGAAAATATCACACAAAGTTTATAAATAATGTATAGAGCATTCGCCTTTGTAAATGTAAAAGGAATATAGGCGGGGAGTAGCGTTTTCTCTTGATCGTATCACGGCGACTCCCAATAAATTTAAATGTTATGCCGCTCATGACAGTTAGTATTGTGCGCATTTGCATTAAAGAAATGCGGGACACGGGTACGCTGTGCATATGTGTTTAAATCCCACGCGACCGCGCCGGGGACAACATCGACTGACGACACAGATGCGACGAGCGTCCAATTCGAGTTCGAGATCATCGAACGGGCGCGACCGACGTAATCGGCAGCGATGATTTCATTTTTCTTGTATTTGTCACGTGGCTCTCGCTCCTCGCGGCGAAATCCTGAATATGTAATCGCATTGCCGACATTGTCCTCCGATTACTTTCAAAACGATTAATAAGCGTATTCACCTATCGATTCGTGCGCGTGATGGCCCGCAATCGATGCCTGCATCTATACAACAGACTTGCGTGTGGCAACGCAACTACAAAATGGACAAATCAGAAACAATGCACCATAAGATACCCATTCATGCACCTGATTTCGTCACGTGTATCGGGAGCGTTACGTAATAACGACTAGATTACCGATATGCCCCGCGAGAAATCTGACGCGCTCAGATTCTCCCTCGCAACCTTGAGAATTCACATCTCCTCTTTACACATAACGTAAATTCTTTGATCCCAGAAAAAGAAACAATAGCACTTTGCATAGACAGTCGATCTTCATGAATACTGCAGTAATAACTATAGGAAAATTAATATCTAAAGAATTTATATATTAAAAATTAAATAATGTTCATCCTGCATGGATGGTTTTAGTCTTCTTTATTATTATATTATACATTATTTGGTAAACTATGCACTATGTGTACAGAAAACAATCTCTCTTTTGTTTTATAAACACCCGTTTGGTCTCTTCTCTACCGCCATCGCTAGTCGTTTATTTTTCACGCGAGTATTTCATCTTTTCTATACGTCCGTCGAAATTCCGAAGAGTCACGAAGTGTGATTAGTGTGATTACTCCCAAAGCAGTGCATTCTGCAAACGCTTCCATCCGTGCAGAGATCGCAGCGTGCATAATTGCTCGCGAAGTCGTAATATCTCCTAAATAAGACCGCAATCCGCGATTCGACTCGATGCACACGCGATTCGCCAGCCGGCGAATCGATGCAGACATAAATCAAATCGTCGTGCAAGAGTTGATGCGATGCATACGTGATATGGACGCCGCGCTTATCCGCGGCAACGCACAATGTAATGTGTCGACCGATGCTCGCGGAAAGCGGCTATTCATCATTTTCCACCGACTATTATCGTCCGCCTAACCGGTTGAAAAGTGCATCGTTACCTACCGATTTGTTCTGTCATCTAAACGGGGGTAAATGTCAACTTATATCATCACTGCGACGACTAATCTCTTGCAGTCGAGTACTGTAGTACATTTACCGCATTCAATATTGGTATTCTACGAGACATTAATTGATCTATATATTATAACAAAATCGAACTCTCGTATCAATAAATTTGTAATAATAATAATCCAACATTCCAATCTATGTATATGTATATATTTTCTTCTCATCTGTGGTTTGTTACACATTAATTCTTCGATCGCTGCATAGTGTTTTATACATAAATATAATTCTAATTAAAGTTCGCCGCTGTACATCTTGATTGACGCAATTTATTTTTATGCAGACGTATACACTTATTTTCCCGGATGCATTTATTCTTTTAAGTAATCGCGCATCTTTATAAATAATAATACGGCAACGTCAAATTAACTAGCTCACTTTGTTGTCGCACTTGCAAAGTACGTGCGTACAAAGATGGATAATTCTAGCGTTCGTCGACTTTTGCGCAATACACGTAATATACGCCAGGCAGAAAAGGGACGGTGGAATCTAGGAATCTCCGAGATTATGCACGTCGGCAATTCTACCTGGTCCTTAGAGCCCGAGAGCTAGGAACGATACTAAGTGTTGTGTGTGTTACAAAGTAATATCTGCGCGCACAAGATAAAACTCTACTTCCTCCGGAGTTTAATGCGCGTTAGGTAAACTTGGCGCTCGCCAAGCGATTTTCCTTGCCGAGTACCGTACGGTAATACGCCGGTAATACGCGCGAGTGCACAGTGTATACACATATTGTAGTAAATAACACGTCGAAACCTGCGAAATGCCGTCGAGTAAGTGGTATTCACAATTTTCATTAAGCGCTCGCCGCTGGACGGGAGTAGCGTCCTCTTCTCCGGCTCCCTTTCGTCGTAAATACATCTGACTGCGCCGCATACCCCGGAGTGTGCAGTGCGAAATCATAAATTTGCACGTTCCCGCCGCGCGCTTTCGCACGCGGCGATTAATATCAGCCGGAACGTCGCCAGCACTCTATCGCGCGTGCTGATTTATCGGGCGTTAAAGTCCCTCGTATCCGTCATTTGTCACTGTAACGCAGCAGGAATATTACTCCCTTCAGACGTTATCTCTACGTATCTATTCGCTCTAACACTGTAAGATAGCAGCTGCGGATACCGCCAGTTTATTGCACAGTGCGTTGTGCATGAATTATCCTGTAGCAAGTAAAACGACGTCGAAGACGTAATGGATTGTCATTAATCGTTCATCGACCATAGACACGATTACATCGTGATTATTTTGCTCCGGCTGCACTGTTTCCTGTCTCTATTCCTAGACTTACCGTTATTGTATATTCTAATTCCTCGCGAATAATATTTTTCAAGATCATCTTTTACGAGTTCGAAAAAACTCGCTAGACATCCAGTTTCAGAGTCGTTTCAATAATTCATCAATAATTTCGAAATGATAAGGAACAGCTTCCTATATCTGCGTTCCCTTTATCTGGGAAACCTATATTTCCAAAACGAGTATTGTTTTAAATCTTTTATTATTATAGTGCGAGAAGACACTTAAAAAGACAGTAGCACTTTTCTAAAATTGTAAACTGTAAAATTAGCTAACGAATTTTGCTATTCCGAGAAAAAAATTAATAAATTAAGAACTTACAATTAGATGTGACAATTGAAATAAAACATAAATCGAAATTTCGAAATAAAACTGAATTTACTTTGTGTAAATCGTGCGGCAGTAGCAGACGACGAGTAGCGTATTAATGATCCATCTTGACCCGCGCGGAGGCGGTGTAGCGGAGCAATTTCAGCAGCCGACTGGAGATCGCAAAGCTCGGATCGGTTTGCACAATTCTCGGATAGGAGGATACTCGCCTGGGAGGACCCCGAAGGTATGCGCCTTCTCGAACACGCGCACGAGCGTCTTTGTGCCTCGCCGTATGATGACGAGGCATACCTAAGCTAACATAGCTAATAAAACCAGAAAGGTCAGACACGGGGTTCAAGTGGGTCTCGTACACCCCGAGGCGAGCAGGCCTCGGATCTGGAGCCATCCTGGATGAGATTTGTGACCGACGGGAGAGAGATCCTCCTCTCATCGAGACGTTCGAGCCTCGAGGCGATTCCGCGCCCAACCGCAAGTCCTCAACGACGAAATTCGCCGTTGTAGTATCTCACCTTCGGTTTCGATCCAATTCCGCTTCGTGATTCATTCGCCTACCGTGCTTGTCGTGCACTTCGCAATCCGCGTCTACCGAGCGAGTCGAATTTACTAGATGGAGAAAGAGAATGAGAGAGAAACAAGTTATACTTAAAGGTCAGTTGATTGACGAGTACTTCCTCCCTCTTAATAAACTTTCTCCTTTGGGATTTCGTTAGTTCTGCCAAATTATTAGAAATTCTGACATTTGAAATCGACGATTTTAATATCTGAATTTCTAATTTCCAGAGACTTTTCTCATACATATCTTCTTCACTTTTACTGCCAGAATTTCGGCACATCATAATCACGTAGGATACGACGAGTAATCTCTATTCGCAAATTTTTAACATTCTCTGTGCGATGCAAGATCTTTCGCTATGAGTGTTCATCTTCCCTTTATCGCGATCGCGTCCCATTGTGTTCAACACAATTAAATCTTCCTCCTCCCCCTTGTTCCGTCTTTCACCATCACGAAAGTCTTTCAAGGTCTCCGATGATCAGCACGAAGGGTGAAGTCGCATGTTTCTCGCGCCGATTTGTCGGAGAGCGCAATACATTATGTCGATGATGTCACGACATGACTGCGAGGATGTAGTTACGATCGTGGGCACATGACGAGGTGCTTATTAGGGATCGTTCCTATCGCGACTATATACCCGCGACTATACCCGGATCAATCCGCGAGCGCGAACGAATTGCGAAGCGTTGGCATTCGAAGCGTCTCCTTTCTTCGCTGTGCCATGCCCTTCCTTTCTTTCCGTTATAAATGACGAGCGAAGAAAGGAATTCATGCCGAGAGACTCGTGTCTAACTGTCATCGCGGAGATCCATCCATCATGATGATCCCACGACCAGAAACATTCGAGGAAACATTTTAATTCTCGATATTGGTCATTAATTAGCTGACTCCCGTTTCCGTATTTGTTTTTAAATATTTACTGATGCGTCATTCGTATTCAGGATGTTGCAAACATGCTATTTTTTTTCTTCGTTTTCTGTTTTTTCTATTTCTTCTATTATATTTTCTTGATTCAATTGCATTCAATAACATTTCTAACTCCAATTTTGCTGTTTTATCACATATAATTGTTTTGTTTTAAAATTCAAAATTTCTTAATTGCAAGAAAGAAAATCTATGGCAGAATACACATGTAAAAGGCGCGACTTTAATTAGCAAATTTATAGTAAAATAAAACCTTGATATATATCGTTAAACGTTAATTACGATATTGACGGAAATACGAGAACAATTATGAAATTCCTCGAAGTAAAAAGCAATGTATGCAGAATATATATTTATAACTTCATGGCTGACTAAAAGAAATCAAAGTAAAAAATTGAAATACGTTACATAAATCGAGACACGTTGAAAACAGTTCTGTTATTGAATATGAATACCATTATATATATATATGATTAGTTTCATTAGTGTGCAAATCTATAAGTTTAGTTCGTCCACGCACGTTAGATCGCAAATCCCGTCCTTCCTACGAGATTTTCTATTTTCCTACCAGCGAATACGCATTCGCAAGCGAGGACGAGCTGTCAACGTTGTTGTCAGAACAATAGTGGCGTATCGCTAAGTTTTCTTGCGCAAAAGCGCGATGACTGCGGACGATCGGCGACACACTGCGGTGCGATCGCGATTTTTGCGACAGGGTACGTCCGGTCCAGAAGTGTCCGATTCCTTGACCGACATCACTGGTGCGAGACTCGAGCCAAAACTTTTCACGATTGTATGCAAAATATCGATTTCGTGTATCGCGTGTTCTTGCGATAGTTACTAAAGTCCACTTCTTTCCGTGGCATCTTTCGGTCGCGCAGACCCGACAACCTCGTTAACGAGCGAGCGGTTTGCACCTCACGACTTGACAGGCAAACACACACGCACGATTTTAGCTGTTGTGATAACAGGGAGAACAACAATATGTGTTGTAATTTGTCATAGTTATAGACCACTCGTCAAATCGTAGTATAATACAAATAAACGTATAATGTAATCCTAAATATCGATTTTAAAATTACTGAAGTTGTAAACTGATATAATTTTGCAGAAAAAAGAGAACATGCTTTGAAAGCAATAATAATATACAATAAGATTTATTAGAAATATATGTATATGTTTATTGATATATGTAAACGTTTTTTACATCTATCAATTAATCAATATGTATCAATAAATTATAATTATTTTAAGTAGAAAGTTAGAGATTTATTAAATGTATCCAGCTCTTTAGAAATTCATTTCAATCATAATTAATCGACAACATTTATCCTTGGATGAATTGCATAATGATATGCGAACATAACTGTATAATTATAATCAATATTTATCTAAATATCTATCGCTCTTAAGTCGGCTTGCAGAGCATCTAAGAATTGCAACACGAGGGGACCTTTCGATCTCGATATTTAGAAATAAGCATAACAGTTGCACGCATGTGCGTGATCTTTAACTCGTTTATAATTCCGACTCTCAGAAATAATATTAAAGTTATTCGGAAATGCTTTTAAGGTTACTCGATATCAGACATAATAATTAATTAACCGCATTCTTCTTGAAAACGAGCAAATACAAAATTTTATTCGCACTCGCAATACGCTTCGCGTAAGTATGTAGTACACACGAGAGAATCCGATTGTTTTAACCGCGATAGTTAACCATCGCCATTAATAACTGTCAGCTGGTAATGACTAACTGTCAACTGCTGATTATAATTTTCAACAATACGTCACCCTCGCGCCGCGCCAGTCCACGTATTAAATAGTCTAAACTGACCTTTCGGTTTGCATGCACGTCGAGCTTGCGCGTCGAGCGAGCAACAATTTACACTCGCGGTATCACGTAATTTGACATCGGCTTCGTAAATCACAACAGGGTTGCCAAATTCATGGATCATTCATGTCTAGCGATCAGAAGGAATACCGCAATATTCGCCGTCCTGCTCTCGACCGGTATTTCAATTAGCGTCAATTAATTTCAGAAACGAAATCGAGCGGCTGACCTTTTCCAATAACTGCAAATGCAGTTCAACTTGCAAATGCAATTTGCGTCTCGATAAGTCGCTCGTATTGTGAAGACGTGCCTGCAATGTAGTTAAAATATGTACATCGTGCAACCATGCGAGCTAATTATCGACAATTATCGCGCGATCGTATCGCGTAAGCAATAAAATTTGACTAGAGTCTAAAATCTGCCAAAGGCTTCACGCTCTCGCATTTCTCGCAACTATACGCGATCAATTTACGACCCACCTGTTCCATATTTCCTAAGCTCTACCGTGTGACCATAGAAAGTTTCGGAGAACCACTAAATTCGATACCCCGTCATTTCCATCTCGCGGATAAACCGTGGAGTCTCGAGAGATGCGCTCGCTCGCTCGCTCGCTCGTTCACGCGTTGTGCAATGGACAGGAGACCGATGATTTGCTTTCACTGACTCACCTTTAACATGATATTACGATTACCATTAACATTAATCCGGATGGCATTTCCACGGCCGGTCGGTCCGCCTAAAATTTCGCGCTCGTGCTCGGGCGCGCGGCGATTAAAACCCACGCCGCGGCAATATAATCACCGTAAAACCGCGTTAAACGGCCATTTATCGGCGCGAGCCGTCGCCGAACGACGCGAGAATCGATTTTAATTAACAGTTGTTAGAGCCAGCGTCCTTTCGCGGCGACGATCGCCGCGGCTCGACAGCCGATAAATGAATCCGCGATCAATCGACGCGCAAAAAAGGTCGATGCGTGTACAAGTAATATAAGATTATTACTGTGTCCAACAATAAAGTACGTAATATGATACTTTCAATAGGGTAGACGTAATCCTAGAGGACTTCTGAGAGACGATCTCTAAGAAGGCGCTTTATGTTTGCCGACACGATAATCGGATAATTGCGCACATTCAATCTTCCAATCGTGGAATTTGTAATCTAAAATTGTTTGAAATTATGATATTTTAATGCGAGTACGCTCTTCCAGACAGAAAATTAATATACACTTGTTCGCTCGATCTTTTACAGTCTACAGATAAGCGCTTATGTCATGACGGTCATGACGGCACCGAGAAAGCGGTTCAGGCTCATTTGCCTAATTGCCATTATTTCGACGCGTACGTTGTTTCACCCTGGATCCATAATGATGCTGCCGAGATCCTCACGTGACCGTCGGCATCGCGTGCCACTTAATAACCGCTAACCAAAAACGGTTATCGCCAAAACGGGAAAGTTAAATGTTGCGTGGTGTCGAGAAGATTTTTTTACTCGGCGAACTCGGTTTTCGCCGGCTGAAAAGAGTTGAGAAAGACGTACTCTCGTCAAATCCAAAACGGGGCCTGGGAGGTACCATCCTTTCTCCTCCCCGCGCTCGTTCTGATGTAACGCGTTAAGCAATCCGCGACGTTTGCGATGTAGCGCGGCCGGGTCGTAAAGCATCCTTATGTAAACAAATCAATCCGATCCGAGCCACCGTGCGATCGGACTTCGCCGACTTCGACCCATGTCTTCGCGCGTAATCCTGAAAAATCGCCGAGCGATCTATCGAGCACATGGCGATCTGTAATTTATCCTAAGGTCGCAACATAGTCTCGAATCCATTCTCCGCTTATTATACAAGTACCGCTATTTCTGAAATATGATGCTGCGAGTTCAACATTTATCACACAACGTGAACAGTGAATAGCAAATAGCTCGCGCACGCGCGCGGTCATCGTTGTAAATAAACATTGTTATTGCTGAACAAAAGGATAGTATATCTTGCACATTAAAATAATTTATTATTGTACGTTGGTCATGCCCGGTTCGTTAAGAATCGTTAAAAGGCACAGGACAAGAATGAATCTTTAATGGATACCTCGGGGGCGCGTTATAATCATAGGTACGTGATTACGATATTCAGAATACATGGAGAAGCATGCGCAATTAAACGATTTAATAGCCATATAGCATTACAGCACAATTATGGTATGACATATTGTCGCATCGGGCACCTACACCGCGATTCTGTTCCCTCTTATCGTCTCCACCACTTTTCGCCGACCGGAGAATGTGGAGGAGCGAGACGCTCGCGAGGGATCATCGCTCGCAGGATACGCAGGATCTCGATCGCGTCAGTTGGACGTAATCTCTTCGTGTTAGGATCAAAGTAAAGCGAAGCGATACACTTCGTATTCGGCAAGTCTTCCAGAGACACGGAATATCGTTGATTAGTCGGCTAACCCTGAACAGTATAACAGAATTCTGATAATAGAATCTCAATTTTTCTTGAAATTATTACACATAAGAGATTGTTTTATCTAAAAAATTTTATACTGACAAAATTAATTTTCAAACTCCACGACATGATGTTTGTTGTTTTAAGGTACGTAAGAGTTCTTTTACTTTTGTATTTTCACATAAGTAACGTAACTTATACTGTTTAGGGTTTAAGGCACGTTCAGGCGACGAGCGAAATCCTCAAAGACGAGTACGAATTCCGGTTAATTGCGGCGCGCAATAATTATGCACCAATATAATTTTTTTACAAGTCTGTTATAAACGTAAGTTTTCAAGTCTCATCGTTACAGAGATAAAGAAATGATTCGATCTGCACCGCTCGGCGGTGCAATTAATATAAACTCCCGTAATATATTGATCTCTCTCGAATAAGGCACGGCGGTCTTGCGTAATTCATATTTAAGATACTATCGTGTCGCGTCTTATATAATAATGCTGAACTTCACTGAACATAGCATGTTGTGCATAGCACATGCAATATACAATAATTCTGTTCAACATTTTATTTTACCTCGAGCTTTGATGGCAGTCGTATTATCGGCCGTATGCATAAATTACACCTCCAGAACGGTCTTACAGCTTCTCGTGTCGCTGCACCATCGCGATTTCTTAAGATATTAATGTAAAACAAGTTGTGCTTCAATAGCAATCCCCGTTGCATTTCAAATAAAAATAAATTTAAAAAACGCGAAACATCCCAGAACTGCTAAAAATGTTTTCTTTTTTTTATTACTGTTACATGTGTTGATCGAAATTTCGTGATCATTAAGAACAAATAAAATTATTTACTTATTAAAAATACTTCTATGTCAATTAAAGAACAAAGAATTTATTTCTTTCATTCTTTTATTCTCACTTCGCTTGTACTCATCGATCTCACGTTCCGTCGACTCGCCTAATCGTGCCTCGTCTTGCACGAACAAAGTAGACACTAGTATTGCTCGACAAGCTGATCATCGATAAAACGATCATAGAGCCACCGTGCGATTAATAAATATCGATTTCCAGAAATGAAGAGCGCGTAACATTTTTCTGCTTTAACGTTTGTTCCGGAATTAATAGCCAAGATCGAATTATCCGCTTCGAACCATCCGCTTCGAAAAAATCTTTCATATATGAGTAATATGACAGAAGGATATCGTTGGTGTCCATGTCGATATATCGAAGCGTTGGGAGCAGTCCTAGCGTAGATATTTCTAATATCTCCTGTAGGGGTCTTCCTCTTCGGGATGAGCCGCATTGTGCGCCAGGGCACGTTGTATCTCTATCGGTATCGGCGGCGGTGTCGGCAGGTGCGCCCCACTCGCTACAAAGCCATTCTCATCGGCTGTGTAAGTGACCAGGATCGGGGTGCCGTCCGGGGCCGTGTAACTGTATTGACCTCTGACCGCCTCGATCTGGTTCGGCCCAATATTCTTCGGCTGTCCGGTCTCCGCTACGGAGATACCATTTTCCGTGTCGTAGCTGCAATAGAAGTAGATTGTTTAAACATATTGCAAACTACTTTTTATGAGAAGAGAGAAATATTGCGGTTTAATAAAATAAAAAATAAATAAAATAAATTTTAAGTTATAAATATGTGTTAAACTTTTGATATTAGTCCGCAAATAAGATTAACAAGATTTGCCTGAGATGGTTTATTTTTCGAACCGAAAATCTCAATATTTTATTTAAAAAAAAAAATTAGCGTGTGATTTCGTATGAGAATACATTTGTAAAATCTGAGTAAATCCAATTAAAGTCCATCATGAAACCGTTTAGAACGACAATCATCGGCTCTATGACTAACTCATTTCGTATCCATTTTCCCACCGACCTGCCATTGGGAAAACCAGTCAGAGGAAAGCGCTACCACCTTCGAGATGTTAGGTGGAGCCTGGCCGAGTCTCAATATCCTAGAGACAGGTGTCACGGGAGGGGCCCGAGTTAGGTGCGAACTCCAGGGTAGCGAGGATGGGTGAGGAAGGTGAGCGCGTAGGTGGGCAGGCAGGCAGAGGTAGGCAGGTAGGTCGATTGTAATTGTTCAATTGCGCAATTATTGCGAGCTGTGCAGCCGAGTGGCGCGCGTACGATTAACATCAAAGCCAATTATGTATCCTTCCTTCGGCCGAGACGGGTTCACGGTTTTTGCGATTTCGATTAAGGCGACTCTGGTCGCCCAAGTAGCGCCTGGAGAACCGTCTGGTGACTTGACCCGCGCGTAAATGGTCCGCGACCTCGGCACGCCCGAACGATTATCTTAAATGACTTAAATGATACAGTCACACAAAGTCCCGGAGTTAGAAAGCGTCGAAAGATAATTGATTATTACGGAGGTATGTCGGCTCGTCGGAAAACTATTTGTGAGGACCATTGAGCTTGAATGAAATATTAGGTCGCCCAGGAATGAGTGCCCAATAATGCGGAATGGATGTTGCAACGGTAATCGCAGGATTTTAGTCTCTAAAGTCGATTGTTGCGTTCGTTAATTGCATGCAACGCGAGATGCGCCGTGTAGATTTAGCGCGATGTAAATATCACGACGCGAGAGATGATCGCATCACCTAATAGATAATTCGATAATCACCGACCTATACAATCTCGTCGCGTTTGACTAATTATAGCGAATTATACGATCTATGTTAGAAAGTCAGAGTGGGGTGAAAATACTTCGACACCTCTTTGAGATGGTCGACTTTTCTTACGGACTCTCGTGTAGAATTTTGCATAATCATTGATCCCAGTCTAGTCCGATAATTATCCGATAATTCAAGATAATATTTCAGGTAAAGAGAGAGAGAGAAAGAGAGTGTGCACATGTTGCGGAACTAACGTAATAATTATTGATGCTTACATTTCGTGCAGAGTTCTGCAAGCTTGAATATGTTGTAAGCCTGTAATAATTATCATTCGAGCTATGACTAATCATTTTACGCGCAACTCCATCTCCATTACCTATTTAAATAAATGAATAAGTAAATATTTAACGTTTCTATACTATTGAATCAAATTTGATGTTAATTAAGTTTAATCAGCTTTTTTTCATCGTGCGTGATGATCTTGCCATATTTGCATTATATCGAAATATTTTTCTCGTTAGGAAACGTAGTTTTTCTACTGTTGAACGCGGGAATATAAAATTTTTCTGAAAAAGTTTTCACTTTCAGATATCTTAATCTCAAACGATTTCTATAATCGTCTCGCAAATTGAGTTGTACACATGACAAGCAATTATGAAAATTAATTGCTTGTAATAAAATATGATAAAATCAGATAAATTTTATCGCATTCTTAAGAGAGTCGTAAAAGAATTAAGCTAATCGGAAATTTCTTTATTATTATTGAATCGCATCAACTTTATACACGATAACATAAATTCGCAATGCACGCGTGATTACTGCACCGGCATACGAGTCTGCATATTTTTTTTCGTGTGTCTAATTACGGTTAATAGAGCATACCGTACTCAGAAACATTCCCAAGCGACCGCGTAAGATTATTGGCCTTCGCACGATTCAAATTTTCTTTCTCTTCTCATTTGAACGCTATTTCCGCCGTACACATCGCGAGATTCGAGAATTGCTTGGGTGGGCGGGCAATAAAAATAACTGCAAACCTGACTAATAAACGTTGCGCGAGCACGATCGACATAATTGCAACGTTCAAACTCCTTTTTTGGATGGTAAAAGGATGTCGGCACTATCAAGATTAAAAAATAGCAGCTAAACAATGCTTATATAGATACGTACTACTGAGAAATGACTCGGCGCATCCCACATTTTTTCAGACAATCATATCGATTCTTCTCGATCAACTATATACATTTTATCCTTAACGTAGTACTTATGGCATATATATTTCTGGAAACAAAACTTTTTTATTAATAAAGTAATCTTCCTTTGAAGAGGATCAATTTATGTCAAAATTCCATTGATAACTGATAAATTATATTACTAATTGCTTTATATAAGGCAAGAAAGTTTTTAATGCTCTTTTTCTTTTAAAATGATATTTTTAATTATGTATTATTTTCTTAGTTTTATCATATATGAAGAAAATGTCAGAAACTTGGGGGATAGTATATAAACATTTGTTGAGAAATAATATACAAGTTCTAATCATCAAAACGCGTCACCACTTTCGTACGTTTCCGGTGCATTAACTACACTTCCTTCCTGCCTATTAATCACTCCTCGATGAAAACGCAGCACGATGGAAGGAGAAGAAAAAACGGACGGTCACGCCGAGCGTGTTAACTTCGCGATTGCATCGACCGAATGGCGCGAGCGTGTTTTCATACATTCGAGGGCATCCGCGGTTCCTCGAGCGTGTCGAGATCGTTCTCTCGACGGCGACGTAACGTACGTATACACTTCGGCGCCGGGACGATCTCACCTGTAAGAATACGATCCGTCCGGCGAGGAGTCTTGCGTTTGTCGCAGTATGGCGTAGAAAGGCCGGCCGTAGTAATTGGGATTGTAATATTGCGTCGGTTGTGGATATGGAGTCGTGAACCTGCTGTTGAGCTGTGCGTATGCCATCGTCGTCAGACCGAGCAGCAATATCTGCGAAAATGATTGATTGGTGCAATATCAGTTAGAAATTAACATATCGAGCAATATTTTCCTAGTGTAGTGTACAGAAATTATTTAACGGTCCAGAAGTTTCCCAATATTGGAATAATTATATAATTATACTAACTGATAACAGTAACTTACTCCTAATTTACTTTCTATTGAGTCATTTTATAGAATTAACGAATAATAGATAATGCAGTTGTTGCAATTGCGACTGTTATTGTGCACCTGTACTTAAAACATTCAACTGCCATTCGATATTATTAGATTAGCCACGACGAACTGCGACAAGTCACGCGGAATTATATAACCTTACGTATTACTTATGCAAAAGGGCCTGCTAGATAGGTAGGTTGAGATGGGTAGGCAGTTCGGCACGCAGGAAAATTTCGATTCACCGCAAGAGCCGGCGCGGTTATGAATAATTATATGTTATTCCATGCGTCATAATCCCCGTCTCACGCTCGTCGGCGACTTCCTCCATTGTGTACTGAAAGCCGAGGAGAGTCAAGTGATTTGCGACACAGCGCGTAATATTTTTCACGCGGGCTAACGAGTAAAACAAATGCTTACAATAAGCATAACAGGTACTGGAATCAATTTGTGTAATAGTGCGCGCATAAGGGTGCCGTCTTCTCGACGTGTCTCATTATCAGTCCGATCGTATAATACAATTATACCGAGAAAACATTTATGCGATACGAATGCTGGATTTGCGCGATATCGCGTCGCAATTGTAACAAACAATCGCAAAGGTCATCATTTTTCCAAGAATACTATGGTCATCGTTTTGCGCGCGCCAAACGGAAATAACGAAATCGACTCCGATAAAATCGTCTTCGTTGCAACCGATACGTTCGTAGAAACTTATCCGACCCGAATAAAATGTGAATTTATATAAATTTGCACAAGCGCAAGCGATTGGCTAATCCGTACGTTCGCCGTTCATGACAAATCTTCCACTATCGTAAAGTTTCTCTGTATCTAATTGCCACAATTTCGTCGTGCTCGATCAACCTTTCAGTATTAGGGATTTTAGACATAGTCCTAGTTTAACAAGAGATTTATATTAAAAAATTGATCTTGTTATGTTTGTCTCCTTCTAGCTAAGTGTAACATAATATCAGACTCCTTGTCCTGATAAAGTAAACTGCAGTATTCGCGATACGTTGGTATTAATAATGTTTCAAGACACAGTGGTAAACTTCTAAACAATTTTCAATTTGAAATGAGACGCGATTAATCGAAGTCATTCTCCTGTTCTTATAAGTTCCTCCCAATTTTTAGTATTTGCTTGGAAAACGGCGGATCAATCGCGAACGTGTGGAGAAAATTAACAAGATCACACTCACGAGGATATTCATGACGATTTTTGGCGTATTCCGAAAATCAGACGACGATTCCTCGATCTCCTATTATCGGCGAATCGGTGCGCACTTGCGTGGCAGCGAATAATCACACTGTGTGCGAGACACACTCAGATCTTCCGAAAAATCACGTACGAAACTCTTGGGCTAACTGCAGTTAAAGACACAAGAGCTTAGGTGGTCACGGTGAGGCTTTATAGTCACCGAGACGATCTGCTTGTGCCCCCTTTTTGCCCCGCCATCGACCGTTTTCTGGAGGTTGAAGGGGAGTATAAATCTTGGACGTTACTCGCGTAATCCGCTAACGAAGCAAAGGGTGGTGGATGGTGGTCGGGGCTTTCTGGTTAGACGATAGGTAGGTGGTAACCGATGGTTCCCCTCGCGTGCACTCGCGCCTCGTGTCTCCCGTGCATCCGCGTGCGCATCTGCGCCCACACGTATCGCGGTATCCTCCGCAGGTGTGTGTACGCGCGCAAGCTTATTAAATTATACACACGCCAGCACTCGCGGAACAGATACAGACAACAAAGCAGTCAGAAGCTGGAAGGCGCCGCGAGAAACGTACGTCAAACGCGAAACCCGAAATCACGGTGTGTCTATCCTAGAAAGCATGGTTCGTGCGTAAAAAGACATTAAAAAGCGACGAAGTACTCGAAATATATTTGTACAAGTAGAATATTAAGGGTGCGATTTATAGGCAAAATAATTATTCTAACAGTTACATGCTGAAATGCAGAACGAGATGGTACTTATCTATTCGGATATTTGTGTCAACTACAGGTGTTCGCAATATCATCCATCCCAGGCACGGGTATATATTGAGCACACGTAATACGTGTCGCCTATTATAGCTATTGCTTACAACTCGCACTTACAATTAGCATTACGCTTTTTCTCGCGGTTCTCACACGCCTCGCGCGTATCTATATCGCTTAGGAGGTCGAGATGCTTAAACGCATGCCATTTCTCTATGAATTGAATTCATTGCATATATTAGCATGGTTCTTTTGCTCGCGCAAGAGCTGCTTATACCATTCTCGTGTGATGTATGCACATGCATATCACTTGTCACGGCGCGTGAAATATACGTCTGTGCAGTTTTTACTCTTCCCTATGCAAACAATAATAAAAACATTGAAGAAGTGATAAAGCACGACGGCAAGTCACATTCTTGCATAAGAGACGTTTGCCTCGAAACTTTCCGCACATAAATAATAACCTAATATTTTATTCATATATATTTTTCAATTTTTATTTATATACATATATATATTATACATATATATAATAAAACTTAATATGCACATATTAAGTTTGCTTGTAACGGAAGATCCATATTAATAAAGCGAAAGATGCATATAAGATAATTTACGATACAAATTAAAGTTCGATAGTATTTTTTTTTATACGATCAACTCAAACAAAATTTCAATTGAGGTGTGCTCAAACTTAGAACCTATCACGCAATTACTTCTATACATGTAGTTATACAGCTCGATCTCTGCTATAGTTAGCTCTCTGCAACTCCTACATCCGCATCGCATCTAATGCGAATTGGGCTAATTCGCGCTTGTAGACTCATCCTTGCTCACTGGGGTGGAACCACATGCACGTATATCCACACGTGTACGTGTGCGCGCGTGTGTCACGCCCACGTACACGCTACGAATCCGCGCGGTGAGATTGAACTTAACGAGGATGCATTGCTCGTCGCCGGGAGAACCGTCATCATCTCGCGTCTCGTAACGTCTCGTATAATGCGCGCGCGTCGGGCATCGCCTCGGGATTCAGGATCGCCGCCGCCGGATTCGCCGCGGATCATCGCAGGGCGTATTCCTTTCACTGCAACGAGCCGATGCAACGCGATTCGCCGCGCCGCGCATCGTCGCGTCGATCCTTGCGACATACCCCGGGCGTAACACCTTAGCACATCCTTCGGTCCTTCGAACGATCAGGATCGCTTGGCGATGACTTCTTCAGGAAGAGACCTTCCTGGTCACTCGGGCTCAGTTGTGCTGCATGGTGTGTCGCCAAAATAAATTAATTGTTTGACATATCATCACTGGAGTGAGATTACACAAGCGTCCATAAATATGATTCAATAATAATAAAAATGAAACGACAGTAATATGAGTGATATCCTGATACCGCATATTTGAGCATTAATATTAACATAATACAGCTTATGATAATATTATATATAGCTACATGTTATATAATTAATTATTAATTGACTGTATTACTATATTTGATATAACTTTTACATACAAGATATTATAATTCGTATGGTGTATAATATTTTCTCTTTTATTTTACCTTTTTCCTTAATTGCATGATTTAACGTAGCGATTTTTCCTTCGAAAAAGTTCATCGATCTGGGATTAGAACGTTGAGTTCACTCGATCTATTGGTCCATCATAATGTCTATTAAAACTGGGTCGCACCCTACACCTACTCCAGCTCGTAGAAGGCAAAAGATTTTAAAACGAAATAACAAATGTATGAACATAATTACGTGTTTGTTCTGCATTCTCTGGAGATCTCATGGATAAGTTACGCGTGGGTACCTTGCGACTGAGTATAACTGAGTATCTTGCGACGCATAACTAATAAATAATTATAAGAAAATAATCGCTTAATAAATATTGCATACGTGACTTCTGCAATGCGCCGTCGATAATCAAAAGATATCGCTATTATGCTAAAAGATTTATTTTCTTTTGTATTCTATTAATTAAAAAGGCGTTATAACATATAACAATCTTAAGAGACAAATATCTATCAATTTTACTTCATTATTCAAAAGTTCAATGTTTAACAATATAAATAAAACATATTGTGTCCCGATTATTAATTATTTCTATATTTTATAGTACGTTTTATATAATCTTTTTACATAATTCTCACATATTGCATTAACAAACTCACCTACACTTCGAGCAAGCTGAAAGCAGGATGCATCAGGATATAATAGTGAATCTTCGTGATATTTCTCGAGCAAGAAATCGTGTATTAACGCGTTCTTATCCCTTGATTTGTCAGAATATCTCTCCCATCTCCGGGATGAGCCGAGATACATATCTCTTTGTACAAAAGGGGGTACGTAAAAATGCGGCTGAGGAACAAACATGCGGTTGAACAAAGACATGACAAGCACAAGACGGCGACTGGAATGAGTCGATGCTGCACGTTTGACAGGTGGTATTTAAACTAGAATAGGAGAAGAAGAATCGCGCACGTCGTTCGTATTTTCCCAAACACGTTGGTATAACGATGGTATTTGCAGTTTCGCCATTAAATCTCACCGTGTCGGGCTTGCAATACACGCGCGCGCGCGTAGGTGTAACGGAGACAACGTACAAGTCAATTCCGCGGGATTTGTGTTAACTTTTTTTTATCAGCGATATCTCTAATTACACACGGGACATCGGCGGAAACATAAATGCCCGTGGAACGTAGGCGAAACCGCGGGATTGCGAACACCCTTTGCTAGTGTTTTCCGCGAAAATCGAGAAAACACTATAATCATGTATGTATTGTGCAAATCTTGCAATAATTGTGAACAATTGCAAAAACAGAGAGTATGTAGATAGCAAAATTATCAAATCTTTTCTTCTATTTCATAAAAGGATTTTAATATGCTGAATATGTTAGAATCAAATAGATATTAGAATTGATAAAATCCGAACACTTAGAAAATATTTGTAATTTGCTTCAATTTTTTCGATCTAAATTGATTATTAATTTATTTTCAAAATTAAACTAATTTTTACATTCTTAATTCTGTATAATATTAATATTAACTTAGATGTTACCTGTGTGACATTTCAAACATGTATTTTCGCATGCATTTAAACAACATCTCTTATCGTCAATTACAATTATCTGCTAACTCACGCTGCAATAAAATGCGGACCTGCATCGCATTCTAGGGCAACCCCGGCCAAACAATGACGGCCTTTTTATTTACAAGCTCAAGCACATCTTAGGATGAATCCTATCTTATTGACGCCGAACGAGCCCACCCTTTCTTTTGTCTCAGTGCTTAGCATTAGCGAGCGAGAATTGTTGCATTGTTTAGTGTACCATGAAGAGGATTACGCTCGCAATTCACTCCGTGAATTACGGCATCAATCTCGCTTCTCGATAAAACAATTTGTATCTCTGTGGAAAATGAGATATACGCATCATAAACTCACTCCTCGCCTACGATTGCCGTCATGTTGAAAAATTTATTATGCGCGTGCATATGACTCTGAATATAAATGATTATATATAAATTATTATTTAAAATAGTTCTTTTTGAAAATCCTAGTTATCACTTATATATACAAGTTAGATCATTTTCTCTCTGTTTCCAATGAAAATTGCATTGAGGTGATATTTAATGTGACGCTCGTGAGAAATTTTCGCAAAAGCTTAGCTATTATCAGACGCGCGTCTGACATTTGATTCGTTGAGTAGAACATTGGGTGGCTTCCAGTCGGGACATTTCGACAACGCGTTATTCGCGATACGACGCGCCTCTTCCTCGCCTAACTCTGGCCCGAGAGCGCAGAAAGGTGTTACCGGAGAGAGCCTCAACAAAAGGCGGCGCCTTGACATTAAAAACTGCTCTTCCCGCGAGAAACGCTGGCTTTATTGTGCGGCCGCGGACGCGAACGATGGAGCGCCAGAACAAGAGCCAGATGAAGAGAATAACCTGCCAGTTATGCCGCTGCGGGGTTACCCAAGAGGAGGTATAACCCGCCCGCGGATTTACATCTCCGATTCCTGAAAGGGACGCGTTCCTTACCGAGGCCGAAACATCTCCGCGTCTTGCTCGTGGCGCGCAGCATCTTGCTCCTATCAGGCACGAAATCTTAAACCCGTTGCGCCATTATTCGTTCTTCTCCATCGGTCATGGTCCCACTTTGCAATCTTCGACCCAAATCTATTCAATTAAGTTTCTGTGTGATAAGGTCCTCTTAGAATTTAAATTTTTTAGGCATAAATTTCATAAAATGCAGCACGGTCGTGGATCTGATTTTCATTTTAGAAAAACTTTAAAATGGAGAATCTCTTTTTGATTTTCGACGAAAAATTTCACGGCGGATTTCGCAATGGCACTTATAGGAACCATGTAAGAGTACATGATGAACACGTAATCTAACAAGACTGGGAGATAGAGCAAGACGTAATCCACCAGTTACGCGGGATTACTCAAGAAACACGCCCTCCGATCTACACTCCGTTCATTCGTACTCTGACTTAAAAAGCTATTATAGACCATTTCTCCCTAGACAATTGTAGGAATCTATCCTCGCTGCTCGCGTACCTGATAATTCTAGTTATGAGCCGCATACGTTGTTCCAGTAATCACTATCTCAGGCGCATCTGAATCACACTCGCTCTAGCACTGACTGAACGATAGAACACGAAGAACTGGAAGCTAAAGGAAATGTTTAATTCTTTCTCAGCAAAGATTCTGGTTTGCTTTTCAGTCTTTTCACGCTACAAACGTAACAAATATTTAAAACGATTTTATTAATTATTGTAAAACAAACCTCGATCAAATATTTTAGAAACGAGTCGAAAAGATTAATAATTTTCCACGCAAATAAATTATTTTGCAGTAATATTGAATCCATAAATTTCGGTCTAGAAGACGATGGAAAGTTCATAACAACTAACGATTGAAAATTATGGCTTGAAGGTACATAGTACCTGATGGCGGTTCAATCGTATATTACGCAAAATCGATCTCTCTTCCGACTCGGACGTGAGACCGCCGTCATGCCGTCGCTATCGTGACGTCCAGTATTTATAATACGTAATGAAATATAATCAGGTAATAACGCGCGATTTGGTAATGGCGTAAATTCGCGCCTGCCGCTAAAGAAAGGCCCATCAATATAATCTGCCCTCGATATGATCTTCAATTACCGCTTTATACAGACCCTTCTCCTTTCTATCTGAAGGATTTCGACCATCAGATCTCTCGCGATCTTCCCTCGTGAATCCTTTGACTTTATCCCGCTCGCGCTATTATGAAATGAGCCATCTATTAACGGAATGAAACTTGGAGATTATTTTTACACCGAAGACGCTATTTTATTGCTCAGCAATTTTAGCAGCCACTCTGATGTGTTTATGCGTTTTGTGATTTTGAAATCAAATAGATTCGAAGTCGTAATTGATTCATATAGTTAGGTAGTTTAGATAAGTATTAATAGATTTAGTAGATTTAGTATTAGTATAGATGTCTAATATAAGTGGTTCCAAAAACATATAGTAGCGTAGTTGTCATTTATACTAAAGGCAGAACTACATTTTAAAGTTTAAACATAATTGTATTGAGTAGAATATCTGCTCGTAAATTTAGCATAAATTAATGAAAAATTATTCTCTCTCGTGGGTTTATTAACAAAGATAATAATCTTTGTTAATAAACCCACGAGAGAAAATAATTTTTCATTAATTTAATCTTATAATCTTTATGAAAAATTTAGACTAATGATTATTTAATATAATAAATAATCCATAAATTTAGCGCTTCTATATATTATCCTACATATCTTTCACTCGTGTCAGCGTTGATTTATTTAAACGCATTCACGATATTAAGCCGATAATGTAACGCTATTGTAATCGAGTGATAATAAGAATAAGATGCGAGCGATCACGTTCATCGATCCCGATAGAAGTCTTCGCGCACGACGGTAAATAGCCCCTCGATTATGAGAGAGGGTTACTCAACTCGCTCGGCATAATCTGTCGTTAACTCTTGAAAGAGTTTCATCTCGAGTCGGCCATCGCGGATTTCTTCTTTCTTCCACATTGTACGGCGCGATACATCGCGATCGACGCATCTGCGCCCACCGACATGTGTCTTTACTTGTTCCCGCGGTCGTGCCTATCAGGACCGCCCACTGAGGATCCAATGATTAAAGACGCTCGTCTCGATATCCGCGCACGAGAACGAGCAGGGAATTCCTTTCCTCTCGAGCCAGCCAGCGCTTATTATCGCCAATCACTTTTGTTCCCGCGGAGAATCTCAAAGACCAACTCAGTTTTCTCGTTCGTTCGCGAAAAAGAAATCGCCCGGCATTCGTTAATTAACATACTGCGCTAAGAGAAACATCGGTTGATCACGGTAGTAATGGCGGCCTTTTGAAATGATCGTTCGCGGTTAACCATATTAATTAATTTTTAAGACTCGCGATTTCGCGATCCTGCACGTTTGAACGTGATGTGTATGTTTACTGCTTTCGATTATGTCAAGTAAAATAATAAATATACCAGATAACACATATTTTAATATGTATTTAAAAACTTCTCGGTAAGTATCATCGTATTCAATTTGATTACGTTACGATTCAGTGTGTGTGTGTGTGTGCGCGCGCGCGATAAAAGTAATAAATACAATAAGAGCTTGCAAAATTATAACTTTCTTGAAATATTTGAAACGAATTTATCAATGGTAAAAAAGGTTATTATGCATAATAACTTTGCAATTAAACATTATGGTTGCAATAAAAATAACGTAGGAAAATCCTTATACGTTTTTAAAATGTTTTTATAAATCGCTTATTTGTCATGTAACTTGTACAAAAATACAAATAAATATTTTTTGAAAGTTGTTAAAAAATTTGAGAATAAAAAGAAATAATTATTATTATTATTTCGTTGACAGTTAATAGCAAAAAATCGTTGACTATAATATAGCAATACATAATAATTATTTATTGTTCAATTAAAGATACTTTTCTCATCAACGATTATTTCTTCAGCCATAAAAATTTTCAATTATTGAATTATTATTCAATTATCGGTTCATCTAATATCGATTAATAGCGATATAGTTTGCACGTTACGCTCGTGAATCGCGTTACTGGTAATAGGATCGAGATAGCTGGCGGGATAAGAATCTCAATGGATGATTTCCCACCTTTGCGTGCCATCATGAGATGGACGTCACACGGAAAACAGAGTATTATCGAACATCGCGATCTCGCCCGTTGTTTCCTACGCAACATTACACTAGTATCTAACGATGCACGCCAGTATAAGCGCAAAAAATTGTTGCGATTTTATTAACGAACGATGCGCGCCGTAATGGTCGTGAGATTTCCTAGAAAATATCTTCCATGTTGATTGAAATGATGCCGCGATACGGCCGAGAATTTTACAGGGGAATTTTATTACGTCGCGCTCGAAAATTACATCTTAATCGTCGGATCGACGTTAATCAGCGCTAATTGCACTCCTCACGCGAGGACAATAAACGATGGCTGTTGTATAAACGATACTACTACAATTAATCACGCTATTATTGTTGCTATTAAAACGATGCTATTTTTGTTATCGGAGATCTATTACAGGATGAAGTTTTCAAAATGTGGACACTGGCATTCTTTACCGAACATTACATTGCATTCAATTCTTGCAATATATCTTCAAACACAGGAAACTCTGTTCAGCGTAAGCACAATGTAGCTTTCTTGATGCCTCTATTCACAGCTTACAACCGCGTAACAATAGATCCATAAATCATACCATAATTCATCGAGCGCGCTATGATATACTCTATAGCCTTGATTATAATTTTGGGCGATAATGAATTTTGCCGTCATTCTCTCGATAACATTAATATTTATCGTCCGCGCCTACATCTTTTCCTTCGTCGCACGGATCTACCGCGTTTCCTCGTCCCGATTCCAAGGCAGTCGCATAGCGATACGCAAAATGTAACGTTAGTTCCTTGAAAGACGCTAATTTCCTGAGAGGAATCGCGAAAACGACTCTCCGAGCTCACGTAGGTCATATCTTTTACCTGATCGCAGCATCCGCAGCCATTTCTATTCACTCCACACCTCCACAAATAGAAACTCCGGTCGTGTCGTCGAAATTGCTAAACTGGCATGGTGGTGTAACGCGGCTGTGTACTCGTTGCGTAAGAATAAATGCCAGGGTCTCCTGGCCGGAAATATCTGGCGCGTATACATGAGAAAACATCGTAAAATATCCCGTCACAACCTTCTTACAGAATCCGCGGAATCCGTGTGACCTAGAGAGTTACGATATTATAAATTAAAAGTAGCGTGTCTGCGAGAAGAATGCGACGAATTGATTAGTGCACGAAATCAAATTAAAATCAATATCTTTATAGATATCCCTCTCTCCTTCTTATATACAATATTATACCTAAATATAATTCTAGATGAAGGCAATTGTGACTGTCTACAAACATTACATAACTAATTATTTTATCATGCTAATTAATTTCTGTCTTACTATAGTTGAAGAAATGTATCTCTAAAAATAGCACCTTTACTAAAATATTCGTATACCTAAAAATAACACGTTTTGTTACCTTGGGCAATAAGTTGTGGTGGATTTATCGGGTCGGCAAATGAAAATACGCCGGGTTTTTTTTTATATTTATATAATTAAACACTTTATATCTACAGTTTGTGGCTCGAGAGGTAGGCGCTTTGTCCGAAGATGTTGCTAAATGTTATCGATCGTTTATTGTTGGTTTTCGGGCTGCGGATGGGCTAGAACGTACGCGACGGCCTTCTGGATCAGCTCGGGCACCTGTGGAGCGACCGGCAGATGGGAACCCTGCGGATGGAAGCCGTTCTCGTCGGCCGTGTACTGGAGGGCGATAGGGGTGCCGTCGGGAGCGGTGTACTGATACTGGCCTTGGGCAATGACCGCAGGATCGCCCTTAGGTCCAACGGGCTGCGGCGAGCCTTGCTCGGAAGCGGCAATTCCGTTCTCTGTCTCATAAGCGTAACTGTAGGATCCTTCCGGCGAGCTGTCCTGCGCGTATTTCAGAATGGCCACCGGCTGCTGCTGCAGCTGCTGTGGGTGTTGGGCCAGAGCAACAGCGACTAAAGCAAGGGTCACAATCTGAAATAGAAATCAAAATTGAACATAGGTACAATGAGACAAGTGGTGATAATAATTTTCTTTATCATCTCTTAAAGATATGAGATAAAGACGTGACTATGACTTTATTTCTGCTTATTATTAGTAGTTGTAAAGAATTTTTATCGATAATTCTAAACGTTGAATCTATACCGAGATAAAATAAGAAATGTAAAACAAGATCAGCGATTTGTAATATCATTATTTAGTTATATTATTAATTAACAAGCATGCAAAATATGCCAATTAAAAAACGGACTTCCATTGTTTAAGAATCAATGGTGTTATATGTCGATTATGTAAATTCAATGTAATTGGCCGGAAAGTATAAGAGGCAAAAAATTGCTACTTTGCGCGCAAAATTATGCGCTGCAAAAAAAAGATTACAGGTTTCGTAGCAAATCCGTGAAAAGAAGATTGGATATCATCGAGAGATAAAGGAGTTAATAGTTCGTTTATAGGCAAATAATTAAAGGTCCCCTGTTTCCCAACGCGTCTAATCACCATTAATTTATTGCGTTTAATCTGTTATTGCAGTTAACACTTTATTCTTCCCTCGATTAGTTAGCCAAACATTAATTAGATCACAGAATCGTAACAAGTTGTTTTCGCAATAGTCGGAGAAGATTGAAACGAATGGGGAAATCCAGGAATTATTCCGAATGATTAGAGTAGCGTTGATAAATCTAAAAAAAGAAACTAAAAATTTCATAGTTTCTTTTTAATTATATGTCGAAATATGTGCAGATTATACTAACAAATATTAATCAAATTAAGTTAGTCAAAGAAAATAAAAATTTTGAAAATTTACGCTAGAAAGAGAGATACACAGATTCAATTAGAATTTTATTAATATTAGTAATAATATTAAATATAGACCAGATATTAATTTTTTACGATTTTAAATTTCCTTATAAGTAGCAGAATTAAAGATAAGGTGAAGACAAATGCAAAACTCACGAGAAATTTCATTTTGAAGTGCGGGTAACTCGAATCCGTTGATCCAATGGAGGAGCGCGATGAGATTTCGAGTGTGATCGCCATGAGAGCCCGAATGCGCTTTTATACGAAACCGTAGACCCCACTTTCCCTGATCGTAATGGTACCCAAAAACGAGAAAAAGCCAGGGTTCTGTCCAGCCACGGCGGTAAGAGACGACAAAGAGAAAGAGGGGAAGAGCGAGAGAGAAGACCCCGACTGAAATAGAATCTTCTGCCAAAAGTAATCTCAAGTCGACTTGACCTTTCCACGCGACGCCTAAATCGATCGGTTGCATAATAGTCGAGAAACCTGTTGACATTGTATTACTTGTTCGCGCGTCGTCTTCAAGAACTCAACGTTCACGTGGCGTAGTGCATGCAATGCGGGCGAAATGCAAACGAATCTCAATAACGATAATGCCCCGAGCATGCATCGCAATTTAGAAAGTTTTGGTCCACGCGATTTGGAAATTCAGATATTTCTTCAAAATTTCTAAATTGTACTCGAACATGAGTTAAGAAACATCTTGTGCATTTAGTAATTTCATCAAACAAACCACAAACCAATACAGTTGGATATATTTAATTTGCTTAGGCTTCAAAGGTGAATTTCTCCTTTAGAAATGCCGACTATTATTTTGCTATTCAATTATTAGAGTTTGAAAAATTTTAGGAAATGCGTGTCACTCTCTAAGAGACATCTTATTTGCAAAACAAACGATCGCGTGTGCATTTTCTTTATATCTTCTCGATGAACCTAGATACATTACTAGACATATTACTCTGACAAATAGGAAGGAAATGCGCTCCGTTGATCCACGATTTACTGATTGTTTGCGAACCGGTGGCTCGAGCACCAAATCTTACGTTCTATGCTTTACGAGTCTCTTTTGCTTAAAATTTTTAATCAATTACGAATTATATATCAAAAAATATATATAATAAAAAATATATATTTAAAACAATTACATCTATCAAACAGTTACCTGAATTTTTGCCAATCGTATAAATTTAATATAAATTAATTTTAATATGAATAGTGTATAAAATTTGACGTTATATTCTTTTGAAATAAACTTTCGAAATAAATATAGTTAAGAATAAATCGGCTTGAAATTAATTAAAGGTGGAAACGAAAAGAATAATTTGGGAATTATATCTCTGTGTTGTGGCAAATTGCAAAATTATTAAAAGATGGCATCATGGCAGTAAAATTAATGCCGATATGTCTGAGTCATAAAATCATAATCGAGAATGATTAATCGCGGGAGGAGATACATGAACGCTGCGGGAGACTTTAATGCCCGTGCTTTCCCTCCCTGTGTCTGTCTCTTTGTCGGCGCATGGCCGCGACTCCTCCCACTCGCCCATTTACATGTTTTCGAGCGAAATCCACGTGAACAAGGTTGCGTGAACCACGTGAACAAATTATTCAGACGTGTACAGCGAATATTACGCCCCACATGCAAAAATTGATGGGCCAAAAAAAAAGATAACGTTATATCTTGTAAAACGCAAATCGATTCGGTGTTACTAAAGTTTTATCTGAAATTGTTGTAGCGAACGATGAATATGGAATACATGTATACGTAATAAATTTTTTAAATACCATCTTTTTTCTATATTAAGCTTGGAATCTCCTGCCAGCCGATAATTCGTACGGGAGATGAATCCAAGGTGCGTCCGCACGAGCCGGCCTTACGACATCGACCTTGCTTAAAAACGAATGTCTTACACCTAGGCACAGAAGGCCAACCGTCTTTTTTCCTATAGCACGAAAAGAGGAGACGAATTTCTCACAGCACTCAAGAACAATTATTGCGATTGCAGCTTACCCGTTGATGAACGAGCATCAGAGGAATGGACGCGCCGCCGAAGCAGAAAACGAAGATAAAACGCAGTTGGAGTCCTTGTGCTTCCTTCGGTATTACACGCGCGTTACGTCTTCCACGATGGCCATTACTCAAGCAAATTGTTTCTGAATGATAGTGCTCGGCCACTCTTGCGTCAGAATTTTCTGAATGAAACTTGGATCTATTCCTGATCCTATGAATGAACGCAATCAAATTCATTACCCGACGCATATAAATCATCACAATGTTTGGTATCAAATCCGATCACACGATCATAATAACAACCGTAATAATGGTACAGTGCATTGGTACCATCCATCATCCATCGGATTGATTTAATCCAATTTTTATATTAAGTCTTATATTATTGACCCTCGCTTATCTTGTTTCTTCTATCGAATTTATTGGTAATGGATATGCATCTGCAATAAGTTAATATTGCTTTAAGCTGACGACGTTATTGCATTACGATGCTTCGTAGGCAATCACAGTCTATATCCGATGCTGCGTGAGAAAATACGTATAATTAATTCTCTCTTTGAGCTAGACAACGCAGTGTGAACAAACGTCTACCATAAATGCCGTTGTGACGGCTTAATTATGTGTGATGACAGATTGCTATAATGTCAGAATTTCTTGAATCAATCTCTATCTTGTTAAGCTACCGTGTGGTATTCCTCGCAGCTTATTTTCGATGGAACAAAGTGATGCCAATCAATGTCCGTGCTGAGAGTTTAACCACTCGGCAGCAAACCAACGTTAGCAGTGCCGTAATCGATATCTGCACAACTACTTCATATATAGCCTACAGCCTATAGTGTTATATAACCATAGAGAACGGTGTGTTTCTGAATATATTATATTCCTCCTTCAATTTTAAAATATATAATTCTGTCGTACAAATTTTTATCAGTTAATCGCAACTATTGCAGTAAAGATCTTTAACAAATTACTTTGCTAATCAACAAATTATAAAACGATATTTATTCATATCTATTAATTAATTAATTTTACTTCAATTTTTTATATGTAAGAACCTTAAATATCATTGGGTATTAAATATCATTGTTGTAATTGATGTTAAATATGTTAAGTATTTATAAGTGTGTTAAATAAAAGGTGGAAATGATAAGACCATCATCGCATGATTCTCAATGTTAAAGTAAATCGTACAGAAAATTATTCATGCAGAAGTGACATTGTCTTCTTCTTGCTATTATGAAAATAGATAGCATCGTCATTGGCTGTATGCTGGAACAAATACAAAAAATATTTTTTACTCATTAATCATGCATTCTAATACTTTGTCTTCGCGGATGTCATGGATATTTGTATGAAATTCATCCCGTTAAAAATGCATTAAACCTTGCTTACAAATGCATCTAATTATAATAAATATGCTTTTGTACAATGAAGAAGAGATACAAATCAGTGGCTGACACAATTATGACACAAAAGATTAAATTAGTCTCGTAATGAAATTGTGAGGCAGTTTTGAGTATTTATAAAAAGATGAAACGATCGTCCGCGGTATTCAATGATAGCTTCTAGGCTAAAATTTGTGAATGAATTGCTCTATCACATCTATAGGGGGTTTCAGAATTAAATGTTTTAACTTCAAAATATGAATTTAGGTCCTCAGAATAAGTAAAAAAAACTCCTCTAAAGATATGTCTGTGCAAACCTTTTATTTATGAGATATTAACATCTAGATAAAGTTGAGATATTAACATCTAAAGTTACGAATAAGAATGATCATTAAGTTTTACTAAATAACTTTTCACAGAACTTTTCGTGAAAATTGTAAAATTACGATTAACTTGATTTAAATACCAATTACAATAAATTCTTTTTTGCTGAGAATCTTGTAATTGTATTTATTGAAAATAAGTACAATTAAAATGTGAATAACGTGCTGCTGAGAGAGTTCTACTATTGTCTACTAATAGCATTAGTACTTAATAGCGCAATAGACATTTCAATCTATCACTTCACGCGTAAGCTTTATCTACAAATCGTTGGCCGGTCAGCGATTAAATCTTCCCGAATTCTTAACAGATGCTAATCTTATCAATCTTGCTATCCTTGCGACCGGCTTCTTGGAGGCCGTAATAAAATTCACATGTGTCATCACGCAATAATCTTTATATGATCGTAAATGTGAATTAAATGAATAACGCTATATAAACTATTATGATTTATATAGCGTTATATATATTTATTTATTAACATTTTTCTTTAATTAAATCTTTAATTTGTAACTAATATTGCAATTTCTTTGTTAAGAAATGTGATATAAATTTAAATAAAGGTAGACTACACATTTTGTACGATATATATGCTCTTGCACAAATAATAGTATCTTATTTTATATGTATTTTATTACACGATATATATGTATTTGTTCTCTATAATTACTATTTACTTTTATCAATTTTTAATTTGCAAGATTTTATTATCTAGAGATTCGGATTAATTTTATCTTTTACTGCATCAAATCTTTTAGTACGTAATATAATGTGTTCTGAAAAATTTATGATATACCTATATAATATTCATTTAATTGTTATAAACTAGTATATTAATGATAATCTTTTTAATTGTGTGGAAATATGAAATCTTACACAGAATGGAATCTTAGTAGCAATTGCCTTTGATGAATAAATTGCACTTTGACATGAGAGAAGTTTGTAAGGTGCGTCCTGTTCTCATGAAGCGTTTTATAGAAATAAAATAGCATGATTTTGACGAAGCTCGCGTCATAATCTAGCGTATAATTTGTTTGCATGCTTATAAATCTCTGACAACGTGCCTGATGTTCATCATTGTATGTGATCGCGTTAGAAAACTTTGAATTAAGTAAGGCAGTGATGCGCAGTTGGTCGAAGATGGTACATCATCGCATTACGCATTTATGCATCATCAAATTAAAATCATCCTGAATAAAAAGTATTTCCGCTATTTACGTTATGTGTTCACGTAACGTTAAATCCTCCGTACTTTCAACGAATCTAATTATTTTGTTATCAACAAAAAGCGTTTCACCACACGCGTTATTAAGTCTCTAATCATGCAACTGAGATAAGTATCTCAGTGAAAGCTCTCTTGTTATTGTTTGCATAATATAGTTGGCACCGAATAAAAACGAGGAATGAAATAATTATTGCTCAGACGGAGGAACTCCGTTGAGAACCGTCGCGTTAAACTTCAAAGTATCATCAGACGTCAATCAACAATCGTTTTAGCGTAAAATCGCGTGATATGGCATAAGGTGATTGAAGTACCAATTATATATTTGCAAGATGTAAAATCTATAGTAGAGCTCACGACTTTATATACGAGACTTTATGACAGCCATTAAATGATTGACCTGTATGCACTTAATAAGCGAAACCCGTAATTTTTCTCCTTTTAACGAAGATGCACTTGCATCTCATGGCTACTCGTTTCCTGTACTTGCATTTGCTATTTTTTGTGAAATATAATTAATTTTTATCCTAGTAAATAATTACATTAGAAAAGAGTAAAAGTTTTTTTTAATCAAAATAATTGCTTCGTCATTATCCGACATTTGGATGCTATTTTTCATCACATTCCATATGATGAGTCACACCCATCCAAATGTCATAATATGCGATTTCATCGTATTACCAGCTGTTTGCGGAAATTTTCTTAAGAACAAACAAGAAAAAGTATAAAAATGAGAACTATCATTTATAAATTAAATTTTAACATTAAATTACATATAATTAATATCCTCATTAAGATACATGGCTCCTTTTAAAAAAAATCTTGTATTTAAGACAAGACAAGCATTTCTAATATATTTTATGTATAATATTATATAATATTATGCATAAAAATATAGAAATTGAAACAAATTGAGCTTTTAAATTAATTTTTATGAGCATATTGGTAATTATAATCAAGTATATCATATATATTATAATACAATCAAAATTTGCAACCTTTTTCATGAACCAACTGTAGATCATTTTGGAACGCCCTTCCATGGCGATCGAAGCAGTTAGATCTTCGTTCGATTTAATGATAAAATGGATATCTGAATTATCCATAGACAGTATTCTTTTGTTATCTTGTATTAAAAGATAAAAGATATATCAAATCTTCTTTTTTTTATATTCAGAAATTTATTAGACGACCTTAAAAAACCTTAATAGATTATTGCGCCACACTTAATAACGAATTATTTGTTTTATAATCATAATAAAATCCCTCTATAGTTATACACATCTGCCGCATGATTGTCAATACACGAAGCATGATCGGGTTGCATAGAAACAGGGGACATTAAGACAATCTTGATTGTAAAGTACTTCAAAGAAAAACTCTTGATTTAAAAAAATCTAAATTATAGTGTACTTTAGATACTCTTCAAAATAAAAAGTTAATGTATAATATTTACGATATAAATTAACATAAAATAAAAAATTAAGGCATTTATAAATTTCTTAAATTGCATAAATACGATGCATATACAATATCACTAGTAATATATTCGGTAATAATGATGGATTATGGGAATTAATGAGTATGATTTAATCAAACTCTGCGAGAACCATAACTTCGAAATTTCGGAAGATATGAATAATGAGAATATAAGTCTTTATATAGAAATTATTAATGATAAATCAATTATTATCGGATTTACAGACTTCGCGGTTTTTCTTCACTCTTCTCAAGAGATTCTTAATTATATTTCTTAATTATATTTGAGATTCTTAATTATATTTGTGATTTCTTTAATAACTTTGCCGGTCTTTGCACCTCTGCCGGTAGGCAGCATAGACCAGCGTAGACCTCGCTTTACAACTTAAATACATGCTAAGGCTGCGGTCCGATTCGCGCTCACAGCGCTGAAAGCATCGTTCTTTACAACGCTGTGTTTTTAAAGGTTTAAAGGTTTAAAGGTTTTCAAAGGTTTTTACAAAGACATATCCGCAAGAAAATATCAAAATTTGGAAAAGGCCCTATTGTAAATAATTACCAAATATTCGCATTTATATTTAAAATTTTACGAGTGTACCTATGCTTAAAACTCCAGGCTTTTAAAATATATATATAAAGAAATTGATTTTTTTAGCCCAACAAAGTAGAATACTCCCTTAAGAAAGCGTACAGGGATTTTCTCTTTAAACTCGTGCCGCGTCGGCTGATTGCCCGGTACGCGCCAACCAATTGTTGAACTCGTGTCGGACAGCTGGTGGGAATATCGTACGAGCGAGCGAGCGAGCGAGCGTACACACTACACAGCAACAATCAGTTCACACCGTACGCTCGGCGCGAAAGGCACGGCTGTGGTATGTGGTAGCGCGCGACACAAGTGACAGAAATTGCACGCGTGTGCGTACGCGTGAGTGACTTTCGTCTCGTTTCCCCTTTTTTTATTTTCTTTTTTTTTTATGATCCAGAAAACGCGACGAGAGAAACGGTCCAGGCGGAGTCGAACGATGTCGCGAGATTGATTCGACAAACCAACTATCAGCCGGTGCGCGCCTCGGTAGATTCTGTTAAGTTCAACGTCCTGTTCCCTTCCTATCTCCCTTTTCTTCTCTTTTCCTTCCTTTATGGTTAATTACCTAGACATACCCTGTAGGTGACATTTTATATCTCACAATCAACACTCACTCCGCATTTCGAAAATATTTTCGAAAGTACTTCGTAAGTATCTTATCTTTATGATAATGCAAGTATGCAACTCTTGTCATTTGGTACAGAATGTCAACATCGTATCAGGTCTTATGGATAAATATCCTGTATTGTCCTATTGTTGTTTAAAATTTTTTTGGAGATTTTAATTTATTTTTAATTTAACATTATAAGGTATAAATCTGTATTAAAATATTGCTTTCTTTGTTGAAATTATCGTTCATCAAACTCCAGACGGACGATGATTGACATTTGCGCCAGATTAATCCACGGTTAATCAGAATCACGTTGCATCCACATGCTTGATAAATTGCTTTAAACATAATTTAATTATGGACTGGTTGTGAGGAAGATATTGTGTTGGAGCAGCGATGTTTATTTATAGTTCAAATAGTACTAACAATGAAAACCTAATTACAGTACGAAATATACGAATGTAATTCAACAATTTAGACAAAAGAATGAAGAGAACACTTTGTGCTTTTCTTTTTTTAGTTAAATAACCTCTCCAAAGTTAATTAAAGAAAAAATAGTGGATGTGTACGCGCTGTTCTGTGTCTTGGAACTGTGACTTGATAAACACTTCTTGTTTAACAACCTATCTGTCATACGAATATCTTAATTCAATATTACTCCCGTTGCACACTATTTATTTGCGTTTTGTCTTATGCATGATGAAGAAAAAATTATAATATAAATCATTAAGGAAAAATTCCACATGAATAATATAAAAGAAATAGTGCCTGGCTTATTTAAACAGTTAACATTTTGATCTGATTTTTAATACGCCATTATGTTAGACATCGGACGATTAATATTTATAGTAAGATTATATAAACAGGTGGGTCCATATTCATCTTCTTTTATACAATGCTATCAAACGATGATAAAGGCTACGGTCAACGTGACGCTACAAATGCTTTGGAGCGTTCTTCTTCTCTTTCTTTCTTTATTGAAAGAAAAGAGAAGAGGAATGCTTCGAAGCATTTGTAGCGTCACGTTGACCGTAGCCAAAGACAACTAAAAATGATAAAGATATACTAATATAAGACAGGTGTCGTTTAATTATTTTATGTGTTAAAACATAAAGCACACCATTATTTCTATTATCTCTATTTTCATCATATCGTAAGATATACAACGATAACATATGATCACCTGATCGCTTCTTTGTTAGCTTCTAATTGCCTCATACAGATAACCTTGTCAAATAAAAGAAAAATTAAAATAGATTGATTTTATCTATGTAGTTGATAAAATTCCTAATTGCTATTTGAACAGATTGACCTTAGCGTAATAGATCAAATACGGATTACAAATCAAAGCATATAGGTTTATCTATAGCAAGTAACATTCCAAATGAAAATGGGAGTAAGTAAATTTTTTTGGATAAAATTCCGAGTTGGAGTTAAACCAGATCAATTTCTTATCTATCTATTGAATAAAATTCTAAGTCGTAATATATTTAAATTTCCGTGGATTGCAGATAAATAATGATAATTTTATGTAACTAAAAATAAAAAGATACAGATAGCATCATGTATGTCACGATCTTTACGTAATTACGAGCGTCAATTGTCACGTTCATATACGTACGTGACCTTATCTATATTGCACTAAATTAGCATTGACTGCATCCGCAATACATGCGGAATGTTCTCAAAAAGGATGCGTGTGAATATGCGGATAACATCGACACGTGTTAATTACGAGAGTCATTCGGCAATTCTTCCATGCACGCTCACGAACAAGCTTCCTATTCAGACAGGCACGTAAAAAGCAGAGAGACAGAAAAAAAATTTTTATCGCAAACGAATTCTTTCACCGTAGATAGTGGGAAATAATAAATTGCCTCTGCCATATAATTTCGTTGCGGAAATTTTGCCGATCTCGTTAATAAAAATCAAATTGTCATTTAATTCGACCAAAAAGATAAAGTACTTCTTTTTACCGTACGTATAGTAAATAGTAATTTATTTCACATTTGGATTATAGCGTCTTTTAACGTTTCGTAATCATTTATCTATGGTAGGAAAATGCAATATTGAAATTGGAGTCTTGGAGACATGAGGAAATATCTAATACAATTGTATCTTTATCGTATGTATACGTAAATACTGCATATTATTACATCTGTCACGTGTAGTCTGGAATTTTAAATAGAGAAATTCAGGAATCAGGAAGCTCTATCTGGCCATTATATCGCATATTCGAGGTTTGCATACAAAAGAAACGGCTGTAACATTTATAGATAAAAATCTATAACAAATTTCATTATTTTACTGTACGATTAGCAAAGGTAAAAAACTGTTGATAATTTGCAGCTGCATTATATTATACTTTTATAAAATGAAATGAGTATATTAAATATATTAGATTTTTAGATGTTTTATAATTAGACATTGGAGAAAGAGAGAAGAGATAATATAACATAAAGGAATTATGTTATAGAAACAAAATTAACGATAGCGCTCTATTTACAGAAATCTTTATCGACACTATCCAATTACGACATAACGAATGAGATCATTATTTATGTCTATCGCATACGCTATGAAGATCATTGACGCAAGAGTCACACATTTGCGAAATAATTTTTTTTTTTCTACAATCGCGACATCACTTTGGAGAAATCGTTCATTAAGCAATTCATAAAATCAGCTCATCAGTTTATGAAGCAATTGATAAAATTGTTTATTTTAACTCTTCCGATGTAACGCGATCTACAGTATACGTTATATATGCGACAGATTATATACGTTATGAGCTTTTACTTACTCGCGATGTTCGCGACATTCTCGTAAGAGTTTTTATGTGATCAGCTACTAATGAACAACTTTATAACAATAGCTCATTAACAAGTAATGATTATAAATCATTAATATGAATATATGATCGAAATATGATGCTAGCCGCAGTTATAGATAAAGACACGGTACTCTCAGACACAAATAAAAATCAATTTCATACATCGGGGTTGATCCTTTCGAGATTTAGACAATTTTTATTCGCGTGATAGAATTCTTAAATAATTCGGCAAAAATAAAATTAATTAGATATAATATTAACAAAATATCATACTCCAACAACGAAGTACTATTCAAATGACTCGACTGAATTTTAAGTATCACACGAGATGTGTGTATGTGTGTACTTGCTTAATAATTTCTGGGTATATATATAAAGCAATTCTGAGGGTCTCGCTTTTAAGTTACCGATGGCGATGGCACTTAGTGACGTCACGTTGAGAGAGAGCGAGGAGTTTAAGTAGGTTACCCGCGGACATGAGAGACGATTGGCTATTGGCCACGGAATATGGTCATGAACGAAACGTCGAATCGAGTTTGCTCGATGTCATACAACGAAAAAGAGGTCCCAGACTTATCGTCGGTTTATACCAATTTTTAGGTCACCCGCCCTCATCGCGCGCGCAATGTCGCGCGCGAGATAGTCGTGAATTCACGAGGGATAACGCGAGCCTTGGCAGCTGCTCGGTGTAGCTTGCTGCATCGCTAACTTGTCGAATCCCAACTTTTCTTACTTCATCGAACTATCGGCAAAAATGTTGTTTTTTAATATAATTAATAAAACAGATCAACTTGTATATTTATAAATTAAGTGATATGTTTATCATGGACGATAAGAACAACTTTTATCACTGAATCGTGGTATTTATGGGTCGAGCTTTTCTTAGATATTACTTTCCAAAGTGAAATATACATCTGATTGAGGGTCTGTCAGATGAAGATGTGATGAAAATAAGTGAGTCTTGTCAGACACTCGATAATAGTCGAGCATGAGGCAGGAAAAGACAACGCTCGCTCAACGTGATTTTACATTCAGGTCGCAGATGCTAAACGAAGAAGTGGATACTCTTCAGGGAGATCTTAATCTCATGTTTCTTTTCATTTGTCAAGTTCGCGAAAGAGACATATGTTTACATATATTTCCGGATTACGCAGCCTCCTCCTATAAATCATTACGCTTTCACTGGTGCTAATCGAAAGAGTACATTTCGTACAAAAATACTGACAAATCTACTTGAAATTTGCTCATTCATGTGATAAATGCAGATTCAATACAAATGAATATTCAGTATATAAGTTTCTTTATGTCACATAGCCGCCGAAAAGAAAACCATCTAACTTGCTGTAAAACAATATCGCTTTATATCGTTGAGACAATGTCAAACAAATAAATTCGAGGAATATTTATTTTAATCAATTAAGTGATATCAAACGCAAAATTCTTCTTCTCTCTCATTCGGCTGTCATCTGCAGACATTAAATCGCGAAACGAGATATTATATTTAAACTTTCGAAATTAAAAACGTTTAGATATGAATGAAACAGTCATTAAAAAGTTAAACACGCGTTGGTCAATCCCATGAATCTCGAGGTCGAGTCAGTCGAGTGCAATCTGTTATTATAGCATGGTCGCTGACGCGTCCAGTTTATTATTCTGTGAATACACGCACATACACAGACGTGAAACGTCTATTGTTCGCGGAGATGGTCGACGACATTAGCGTTACGTAATTGTGAAAATCTGTGAGAAGTTCTCTCCGAACGCTCTTTAAAATATTTAAAATCGCGTAAAAAATGCTTCTTATGAACATATTCTTTTTTAGGATAACGTTATTGTCGCAAATTATTTTCTGTTTTGAAAATGCCACTGTCTTTCGCAATTAACACGTCTGCCAGTGAGTTTTATGCCTTACCACGTAAGCCACAGTAGAATTTTTATAAGCATATCATGATAAAAAATAATATGAAAATAAATAAAGATATATTATCATGGGTAGTGTGTTGAATTATGCACTTTATATTTTTCGTTATTATCTAGCTATTTATGTTTAGATTTTATATTAAATATTTATTTTCTCACAAGTGTTTTAAAAAATTTCGATAAGCACCAATAACCAGTAATCACTAGTGTGTCACTGAAAAAAGTTATGCGTCGGTCACCAATCGTTAATTATTATTAAATTATATATTTAATCAATAAAACAT